AATGATATTTCACACCTATTTGTCATGTTTATATAGGGAGAAAGAAGGAGAAAACGAAATTTTTAAAGACGGTTGGCGCGAATCTGCACGAGAATTGGTCCTGAGCTGCATCAGATTTTTCTGGGCCATCCTCTAGAGAAATGGCGTGACTTGGCGCCATAGTGGCGCGGTTTGGCGCCAGATAGGTTGTTGGGCCGTCTTCCAGGGATGTGGCGCGGTTCTGCGCCACAGTGGCGCGATCCCGCGCCAGTTTGCGAGAAAAACACCGTTTTCTGAAAAGGGAAAATTAGGAAGAAACGAATGAGGGATATAAAAAGGAAGCTGTGAGGGTTTATTGAAAAACTTTTCGACGTCAGAGAGAAAACAAGGATTCCAGAAGGAAGAGAGGAATAGAGGATTGTTCTTAGTCTTTTTTGTAATTACATTCTTTCATCTCTATCTTCATTAGTTTTATGTCAGCCATGATCATGGTTGGCTAGTATTCTTTATTGTAGTTAGGGTCACAAACCCTATGTGAACCCTTGTTACAACGAATTAGTTTATAATTACTCTTTTATATATTTATATTATCTCTACTCTGTGCGTAATTTCTATCTTCTTTGTTAAAATTGATCAATCTAATAGTTGATGATAGCTTGAGAGTAAGAACCCTATATAGGAATATTGGAGTTTTTGATCTTGAAAGGGAGTATGATAACAATTTGTGTGCGTGCTAGGAATAGACGTATATAACATTGCAGATGTTTAATTTATTGTGCTCATTGCTTAATTTCATGAGAAACATCGCAAGGAATTGGGGTTTCAATTAGGGTTAAAGGGTTAACCTTGCAAGGGATTGAAGGTTAACTATTTAATAATTTTTAGATGATAAATTATCTGGGTATTTACTTAAATGATTATTTTAAATCAATCCAGAGTAAAAGGTGGGATCATATGGTGAGTGCACTCTAGCTACAATGCCTTCTCATATTTTATAAAATCAATCTCTGTTTTATTTTTCACAACAAAAATTCCAAAAATGCGTTTTTATCTTAGTTCTTATTATTACTCAAATCCACAATATTTTGTCACATTTATTTGAACATTTCCCGTCTTAAAAGGAACGATTATTTGATATTTGATCACAATCCCTGTGGAGATGATACTTTTCTTATCACTGTATTACTTGTGCGATCGGTATACTTGCCGGGTAGCATCAGGGATTAAAAGTTAATCATTGAGTTAGTTAACCAAAAACAAGTGGTAAACAACTTGGTAAAAAAATCCATTCACTTGAGTGCTTTGGGGAAGGGAAACCAAATATTCAACCCATTTTTATAATATTTTTAACAACACAATTTTTTTACTTCTTTGTTTTAGAGCATTGTTACTCATTAGTTAAGTTTTCCTTACACAAAATTCCTGCATCAGAAAAGAATTTTTTTTTTTTTACATTTCTCATTAATTACTCATTTCATCTAACAATTGATTTTTTTTTTACTCAATCACAATATCTCTTAAAAAAACAGTAACATTTCCAGTTAGCTTAGTGTAGCATTTCATTATGGGAATGATATAAGGGTCTAAGATGTCCCATTACTACTTGTTGTCGAGTATACTTGCACGCCAAACTTGCGTAATTTCTATCAATGCAACAAATTTTTGGCACCATTTTCGAGGATCGAAAGGCGTACATTGCCAGATTACTTGAATTCTCTTGTGATTGTTGTGTCGAATTAATTTTCTGCTATTTTTTATTTTTAATTTAGTGTAGCTTCTTTCTTTCTCTGTTAGTTTATATTTTTGCTGCTATTATTTTCTCTTGTGAGTTGTTTTCTTCATTTATTTTCTATTTTGCTTTTATTCTATTGTCCTGATTGCTGGTTTACTGTTTTTATTTTTGTTAGTTGATATAAGATTGTTTCTTTGTCAATTGCTATTTTTTTTTATTCTTCGAATCTTTCTTTTGTTTGTTGTTTTCGTTTTTGTCAAATTTTTGCTAGTTAAGACTTCTGCTTGATACAACTAGTTTAGGCTTAGGTTTATTAAGTTAGAGAGAGGGTGCATGGGTGCAATCCCTCATCCTTTCTTAGAAGCCTTTGACCCTAACTAGAGAAGACCTTTAGGCTTAGAAGAAAGAACCAAAGAGCAAATGGGCAGATTCAAAACCCCAATTTTGATTAAATAAAGAATCAAGGAAATGGGAATAACAATGAGGAACAACCTAGAAAGATAGGGAACCAACCCATGGATGATAATGACAAGTCCATGATGGACTTTATCATTCCAGTCTTGGATGAACTTGATCCAAGTATAGTTCAACCAGTTATAGAAGTGCCTTTTAAATTAGAACCTATCATGTTCACCATGCTGCAGAATGTGGGATAAAACCATGGCCTACTCTTAGAAGACCCACATAAACATCTAAGGAACTTCTTTAAAGTTGCCAACACTTTTAGGAATCCAGCCATTTCAGATGATGTTCTTAGGCTGAAACTATTTCGTCATTCTCTCACTGATAAAGCAAAAGAGTGGTTAAACTCCCTTCATCAAATTCCATAACAACTTGGCATAATCTAGCTGAAAAGTTCATGATGAAAATTTTCCCATCTAATAAGATTATCCAAACCAGAGGAGAGATCACCAATTTCATGCAGAAAGATTATGAAGTTCTAGTGTATGTTTGGGAGAGATTTAAACTTCTCCTTAAACAGTGTATGAATCATGGGATATGATGTGAGTCTAGCAGATGATGTTTTCTAACTTATAAGAAGCAAGGAATTAATCATAAATGTGTGAAAATAGTCATTAAATGCAAAAAATATTGATTATTCATTCTCAATCATGCTCTCACTCAAGTTATATGTTAAATAGCAGGAAACGCCGCAAAAAGGAGCAAAAATGGAGAAACCAAATTTCCCGCTGGCGCACGACGCGCAGAGGTTGGCGCACGGGGCGCAGTATCTGGCGCAAGGGGCGCCAAAGTGACGATTTGCTTCTGTTTCAGCCGCGCATGGCGCGCCAACCTGGCGCCCGGCGCGCAGGAGTTGGCGCACGGCGCGCGGGACTGGCGCACGGCACTCCAGAGTTGGCGCTCGGGGCGCCGTTGATAGATTCAGCTTCTGTTTCTCCCAAGTTTGGGGCGCCAGGCTTGGCGCCCCGTGCGTGGGCGATATAATTTTTACTGCGAATCACCCAAAATAAAGCCCAATTGGGGTGCAAGTGAAAAGAGGTTTTCCCAAAACCTAATAAAAGGATGAGAAACAGAAGAAGAACAAACCTTTTGACAACTAAGAAGAGAAAACCAACAAAGAGAGTGGGAATTCCTTGGAGCTTCGAGGAGATTCAAGGATTCGGTCATCAAGACGGAAGAGCTTCATCTTCCTTTTCTCTTTTAGGTTTTAAATGCTATTTTCTTTTATTGTTATTTTGTTAGACATGAACATGTCTGGCTAGTTCTATCGTTGTGGTAAGGGTCACAACCCTTGATGTGAACCCCTTGTACCTTGGTTGAAATTTATGTTTATCTATTTTAATTGAGTTTATCTTTTCTTGTTCTTCATTTTATAATTCTATTGGAACTGATCAATCTAGTAGGATTGCGAGGGTTAGGGTTTTCGATAGGGATGTTGGAATTCTAATTCCTGACAAAGAATAAGATAACTGTTCATGTACGCACTAGGGATAGGCTACATGAACAGCGAACGTTAAAGGTTCATTGATTCTAAGGGTTAACTCGAAAATGAATTTCCAAGGGATTAGGATTCTAATAGAGTTGACAAGGTTAAGATCACTAAGGGATTAGGGCTTAACTAATCATATAAAGATGATGAATTGTTCGATCAATTGAATAGGTAAATGTAAACGTAATCCAAGTTGCAAGGTGGGGATCAGAAATGTGTTTGTTTCTCTTACCGCAATATTTTCTCAAATATTCTCCCAATCCTTAATCTTTTGTTCTTGCATTCTGAAAACACTTTTAGAATCATTTACATTTTTACTTTAATTGTTTTAGTTTGTTTCATGAACTACAATCATTCTCAACTTATTTTGATTAATCCAACAAGAGAGGAATAGTTATAACAACTTAGGTGCCTCAATCCTCGTGGAGACGATACTCTACTCACTCTTTATTACTTGGTACGATCGGTGCACTTGCCGATTTTACGCATCAAGATATCCTCTTGGGCCTTGATACAAACTTTCTACAATGGTTTAAACTCTCAAAACATAACCTTAGTTGATTCTACTGCAAATGGCATGTTTATGTCTAGATCTTTCGATCAAGTCCATGAGCTATTAGAGCAAATGACTCAAAATTACTCCCAATGGCCTACTGATAGATCCCAACCAAGGAGAGTGGCTGGAATGCATGAGGTAGATTCTATGACAACACTTTCAGCTAAGTTTGATGCATTGTCAACCTTAGTTAGGAATCAAGGTCAAGCTATATAAGCCAAATTAGCCCAACCCTAACCCTCTAAACTTCAAGTCCAAGCTGTTTCTTCCACTTCAAAAGATTCATATGTCTTTTGTAATGGTCCTCACCTTTTTGAGAGCTACTCATCCAACCCAGAATCCGTCTTCTATGTGTGAAACCCCACTAGAAATCAAAATAATTTTTCCAACAATTTTAATCGATGTTGGAGACAAAATACTGGTTTCCAATATTCTCAAGGGCAAGGACAACAAGTTGGTCCCTCAAATTCCCAACAAAGACCATATTTTCCCACTCAGAATTACCAACAACAACCTGCCAGGCAGCAACCATCTGCTCAGTACTCTCAAAATCAGCAGGGAAAGTACCCTCTTCCTCTCTAGAGACCTTGCTTAGAGATTATTTAGCTAAGACTGAAGTTAAACAAAATAGCTTAGAGGCTGTTGTGCAGAGTATTCCTGCATCTCTTAGGAATTTAGAATCTTAGCTAAGTCACACAGCCAGTGCTTTAAACAATAGACCTTTAGGTACCCTAACTAGTAACACTGAAGAGCCTATGAGAAACAACAATGAGTAATGCCAAATGATAGAGTTGAGGAACAGTAGGTTAGTGGATCAGCTTGAAGATGTAATCAGACCTTCAAAGCTGAAAAGGATGGCAGAGGCAACATTGGAACAAGAGAAGAACAAGGAGAATCAAAAGCAAGATGAAGGTTCATCAACAAGTCAGCAACCTGCAATAACCAAGGACATCAGCAAGGAATCCGAAGTTGAAGTCACTTCCCCTATTCTGGTTGAACCTGAAATTCAGGTTCAATTAGACAAAATTGTATAGACTAGTTCAAAGGCAAAAGTTGCTTCAAAAAGCCAACCTTCTCAGCCTAATGTTGAGGCATTTAATGCCTCTAACAGACCTCCTCCACCCTTTCTTCAAAGGCTTCAAAAACAAAAGCAAGACACTCAATTTAAGAAGTTTTTAGATCTCCTAAAATAGGTCCATATAAATCTTCCTTTTGTGGATGCATTAGAACAGATGCTCGGTTATGTAAAATTCATGAAAGAAATTCTCTCAAGAAAAAGGAGATTGGCAAAATTTGAAAATGTTGCTCTTACTCAAGAGAGCAGTAAATACTTGCTGAGCAAGTTACCTCCTAAATTAGAGGATCTAGGGAGTTTTACAATTCCTTGCACCATAGGTGATCACTACATAGGAAAGACATTGTGTGACTTAGGAGCCAACATCAATTTGATGCCTATGAAAGTATTTAGGAAGTTAAAAGTAGGAGAACCCAACCCTACAATTGTCAATCTACAATTGGCTGATAGATCCATAGTTTACCCTGAAGGAAAAATAGAGAATGTCCTAGTCAAGGTAGATAAATTCATTTTACCTATTGACTTTATCATTTTAGACTATAAGGAGGATAAGGAAGTGCCTATAATTTTAGGTAGAGATTTTTTAGCCATTGGAGGGGATGTTATAGATGTGAAGGAGGGTGAGCAAATTAAATTTAATATTTTAAAAGCCATGAAATACCCAAGAGAAATGGAAGAGTGTTCTAGAATGGATGTAATTGATGTTGTTGTTAAAGAGGGATTCATGGAGGCAAAATTAGTTGATCCTTTAGCAGCCACTGTTTGTGAGAGTTTAGAAGTCAATAGGGCGGATGCTGAAGAATGGTCCAAAGAATGGTCCAAACGGTTGACTACTAGATCTATCCCAAACTGGAAAAATAAAATTTTGAGTCTTTAGAGTTGTCCATGAGATGATTTAAAATTCTCAAACCTTCAATTGAAGAACCTCTCACTTTAGAGCTTAAGCCTTTACCTAATCATCTTAGGTATGCTTACATTGGAGAAAAAGACATTTTACTAGTCATTGCGTCTAATTTCCTCACTGTTTTGGAGGAAGAAAAGTTGCTAACTGTTTTAAAAAAATTTAAAAGAACTATAGGCTGGACTTTGGCAGACATTAGGGAAATTTCTTAGTACATGTAGTTGGGCCTGCGCATTGTCCACTTTTAAAGCCCAATGGCCTCCCGTGTGAGGGGACATGCTAGAAATATATAAAATCATTAATGTAACATCATCCAACAACTTAAACTTTTAGATTGAATTAATATTTTACATATTTTTTTTTGTAGTTATTGGTACAATCCTAAAAATATTACTAGACAATTTAATTGATTATTTGATTTTATAATGAGTCCAAACTAGGAATTGTATTATGGAGTCAAACTAATTAAACAACTAAAAACAATGTTAGGTGCGCAATTTTTAAAAAACAGATCACTTTATATTTAGAGTATGTTGCAGAATTAGAATGTAGATATATATTAAAAAAAGAAAGCACAATTATCGTCAAACTTATAAAAATATAAGGGTTTTTTTTTTTTTTTGGATATTAAATATAAGGGTTTTATAAGAGGTATGTTGTAGGAAAAATGATTCTGTAATGTTATAGAGATTCATTTTGAGTGCCGTAATTTTCTTTTTTTCTTTTTTCTTCAAAAACTGTGAGCCCACAAAATGTTGTGTGTGTAAAATAATTTGTTGTGTTATGTTAAATGACAAATATAAATCTCAAAATATAATGTACTATTCAAATAATTCTTATATGTCAAATGGTCTATAGTTTTTTTGTTTACCAAAAAAAAAAAATGGTCTATAGTTCAGACAAAACTGCGTTAAAACAGTTCTATATCAATTTACATTAATCTAAAATAATTAAATATATTACTCATTGAATATTTTTTTTAATATAAAGATCGAGTCAGCAAAGGACCAGAATATACTAAATTTATCCAAAGCCAGCTCATCTATGTTGTGACTGAATCGTTAATCTCCACGTGGCGTTTCCAATTCTGAAGTGATCATGGTCGGTGACGTCAATGCACAATTCTAGATCTTTTCCTTTGTTTAATGTTTTTTTCACTTCCATATTCTGTTTGTGTCAGGCCTTTGTTTGCATTGCACTTGTTTCTTCTGAGTTCCGTTTGTGGAAGAGCAAGAACTACATGGCAATAATGAGGACGGTTTTTCAAGATGAAGCAGCACAATTGATTAGCTCTGATCTCAGTGAAATGGGTGCAGCTGCTAATAAGCTTGCTCAACATGTCATCAACCTTGGTATCTCAGGTTTTGGAGTCTCCATCCTCGAATTGATCGCTTCCATTGCTGCTATGTATGTAGCCATTAAGCCATATACTTTAATAATCTCTCTGTTTCTTATGGACTGAGTTTGACTATAGAAAAAATTTATGATTTTGTGAAGTGAGTGTCCTTTAATTTCTCTTCACATTTCTCCACTTTTTGTGGGGCGGTTAGTATTATTAGTAGAGGTAGGATATTCTTACTACTCATTTTTTTTTACTACCATTTTAATTATCGTTGGATTCAAAAGTTATTTTTCTTTCTTCTTTCTTCTTTTAATTTTTCCTCTTATTCAACGGTGATTAGAGTGGTAGTTAAAAAAAATAAATAATAAGAATATCATACCTCTTATTATTATTATTATTATTATTATTATTATTATTATTAGGGTTTTATAAGAGTTATGTTATAGGAAAAGTGATTGTGTAATGTTATAGAAATTCGTTTTGCGTGCCGTAGTTTTTTTTTGTTTCAAAAAGTGTGAGCCCCACAAAATGTTGTGGGTAGGAAAATTAGTTGTGTCATGTTAAATGATAAATGCAAACCCCTTATTATTATTATTGTTATTACTGTGTATCTTTTGAAGTGAGTGCAATCCCATCTTCTTATGTTGGTTTTATGATTTGTTTGGTGAAGCCTGATGCAAGGAATGAATCTCTTAAATGTTGTAGTGATTGGGGGATCAATTCCATGCTATTTACTATGATTTTTGTTTTTGATATATCACTATTTATCATTTCTTCTCCAATCCATCATTGCTTGTCTCTCTTTATCAAACTTCCCATCTGTGCATTGGAGGGCATAATTTTGTTCAAGAAGCTTGATGCTGTGTTTGGCCTTCTTGAACCGCAGTTTTTGTAAAAAAAAAAAAAAAAAAAAACTTGGGGAGATGAGGTTTGAACCTGTGACCTCAAGGTTATGAGCCTTGCTAGCTACCAAGCTGCTTTGGTCTTGTAGGTTAACCATGTTATGTAGCTTGCAGTTCACAAAAAAGAGAATAGGAAATGAAAATGATGGATCATAGATCATTTATTGGTGTATATAAGACCCATTTGCTAGAAATTAAGGGTAGGAAGTCCATCATCTTCTATTGCTCTCCCCATTTAAATTTTAGTTCTTCACTGATGATAATATTGTATCCAATGCTAGTATGAGACATTAAATGGCTCAACAAAATTAAATAAGTAATAATTTATAGACATTTAAACTACTTGATGTTTACTTTAGCCTTTCCCTTTTTATCTTCAAATTAAAGGGTAGGAAGTCCATCATCTTCTATTGCTCTCCCCATTTAAATTTTAGTTCTTCACTGATGATAATATTGTATCCAATGCTAGTATGAGACATTAAATGGCTCAACAAAATTAAATAAGTAATAATTTATAGACATTTAAACTACTTGATGTTTACTTTAGCCTTTCCCTTTTTATCTTCAAATTATTTCTGTTTGTTTAATGTTTATGCTTAGAGGATGAAATTGTTAGAAAATGTTTTGCTCAAACAAGAGTTTTTCTTTGTCTTCACTGATAATTTTTAATTTGTGCACTGCAGTTATTTGTTAATTTTGGATCGCACAAATTGGAAGACGAACATTCTTACTTCACTACTCATTCCATACATTTTCTTCAGCCTGCCTTCATGGATTTTTAATGTGTTCAGGTGGTTAGCCTGCCATGCATTATTTTTATTAATCTTGTACTTCGAATTTTCTCCAATATCAACTTTTGGTTTTTTGTATCTATGCTTACTTATTTTCATGGTTACACAGGGGAGAAGTTGGGAAGTGGATTGCTCTCATTGCAGTTGTATTACGGCTTTTCCTTCCAAGGCACTTCCCTGGTATGGTAAAATTTTGCAGAGAGTGATCTGGCTTTTGTTTATAAGATGCACACTATAAGTGGTATCTCTTAAAATTATTTGCTGCTATCCATTGATTAAACTTGCAAGTATTATTGTGCTATCACTGTTGTGTTCTTTGTCATTCCAGAGCAACCATACTTCTCAGTTTTAACTCTCCCACATCACATCCAATTGATATATCTATATCAGTGTATATTCATAAATGTTAAAACTAACTACTATAGGAACCTATTGAGCTTACCTCAACTAGTATCTGTTTTGGTCTTTACCAAGGGGTTGTGGTTATGTGGTGGAAGGAAGTGTTAGTAATTCAAATGTGAGTAATAAAGTCTCGCATCAGGTAGAAATGAACTAAGCAAGGAACATATAAGCGAAAAGACACTGAGCTTCTTCCATTTGAGGGGGAGGTTTAAGTGAGTTGGATCCTAGATACACGTTTCCCATTCCCCCTTACTTCTATTAGTAGCTTTCAAAGTCTGTTAAGATTGGATGTAAGGTTGGGGCTTAGCCCCTCTTTATTTACAAAAAAAAAAAAAAAAGATTGGATGTAAGGCTTCTCATTCTTTTTTGTGGAAAATTTTCCAATCGGTTCATCGCTTCGCGACTAGTCCGATTCGGGGCGGGTCTAGGATTAAGGCTTTAAATCCCTCCTAAAGGTGGTACTGGGAGGATCGAACACATGCTCTCACGTCTCACCCTCACCTGCTCAGCTCTCATGCACCAACTGAGTTACCACCATTTGGTTAAGGCTTTTTATTCTTACACCAATATAAATTGATATATATATATATATATATAGAGAGAGAGAGAGAGAGAGATAGGATCTTTTGACACCAGTGTCAAATTTGAAATTTGACACCTCATCTGAGAGCCATTAGATCAAAAAATATCAACGAGTCTGATTTGTAAACATGTGACACCATTAATCTTTTTTGATCTAATGGCTCTCATATGAGGTGTCAAGTTTCAAATTTGACACTGGTTATATATATATATATATATATATATATATATGTACACTATTATAATTAGTAACAATTCATGATTGTTATGGCAGATTGGCTGGAATTGCCTGCAGCTTTAATTCTTCTTATCGTTGTAGCTCCTGGTCTATTTGCAAACACATGTAGAAGCAATGCAGTTGGGGTGGCAATATGCCTTGTCATTGCATGTTATTTGCTGCAAGAACACATTCGGGCATCTGGTGGTTTTAGAAATTCCTTCACAAAAGCTCACGGCATATCAAATACAGTTGGCATAATCCTTCTGTTAGTCTTTCCCATCTGGACGCTGGTGCTTTACATTGTATAGGCACAAACTTAATAGAGTAGCAAATTTGGATTTGGTTGATGTTTGTGAGTGAAACAATTGATCTTCTCTATTGTTCATTTAATGGAAATTGATTTGTGGCTTACGCATGTCCCTATAGTTTGTATGTGTATAAATGTGAAGTGAAATATTATTGAAAGACTTTTGGCTTCATTGAACCTAAAATGTAAAACTGATGAGCAATGTGGTATATCCCTAGCTTCTTGTGTATTCATAAATCATATATTATAATGTGCAAATCATTGTAACTTTATGTTGTGGGATTATAATATGGTTGGCCTTTGGATTATACACCATTGTGTGCACGTGCATGTGTATAGTAACTTTTTAAGTCTTTTAAGAATAATATTTTTTTAAACATTTAGAAGTTATCAATATCAGAAGAATCGCAGAATTTAAAAACACAAAGATAATACCCAAAACAAAAAGGGTTAATGGTTGTGTGAAAATATTAGGTTCAGCTATACCATGTTATCATGGCTAATATTGTGGATTAGATGATAATATGCTGTGTTATTTCTGCATACTTAAAATGAAAGAATAAGCTTTACCAACACAAGAAAAAATGAAATAATATGCCAAAAGAAAAAAAAAATACAGATTTTGCTAGGGTCAAGAAATTTCTAGTTTTTCAGAAGTTTGAAATAATCTTATTAATTTTTGACAAGAATTACATATGGAGTTGCTGTTTCAACATACGACCACTTCTATCTTTGTAGCTTTTCACTTTGATCAATACAATATAATGAGCCAAAATGTACAGAAAACCAAATGGATTTTCCTTTAACTGCTAGAAATTTGTATTAATGCATATAGCCAGCTTGTCACATTGCTCACACCTGTGTTCCCTTGGCTTCCTTGTACAGTTGATCAATATGATCCTGTAAAATAATGTTGGCAAAGAGTAACTCTTAATTATTAAAGCACTCTTAACATTTGATTTGAATTCATAAATAAGCATTGCGTCTTAACTCTTATGCATGGAAGCCAAAACTGATGCACATTTGTTACAAATCATGAATCATATTACTAATTCTCGGAAACAAGAAGAAAAAAAATTAAGGGATAATAGACTCTCATGCAATAGATGATAATAATTTCCTAAAATAGACACAATTTTAATGGGTCTCACACTAAACAAAAGGAAAAAGAAAATAAAATAAAGGGAAAACATTTTCTCCTTTTAAAGGAGAAAATTTTTCTCCTACTAGTGACTCATAACATAAGTGGTCCCATCTTGATTTTTTTTTCTCTCCACTATTTTGTAGGCCTCATTTATACTATGAGTCTTTAACAGCAGAAAAATTTTCTCCTTTAAAAAGAGAAAATATTTTCCCTAAAATAAAAGCTCAAATCTCTAAGGGTATGTGGCATGAGGAATGCTTTTTCATGCAACATGATAAAAGCATTATCCAAAAAAGGGTTATAGTACTCTCATGTTGCATGAAAGTAATATAACTTCCTACAGATTCATCGATTTTTGTGTCTCTCTTTTTTCTTTTTTCTTTTTTGATTAATAGTGAGGCTCATCCCATGATTGTATCTATAACATGAGATAACATATCTCGTATTGCATGAGAGTTATATAACCCAAAAACTTTATAGCATAAAGTGTAATAGAAAGTCAACAAGAAATATTGATCAAGGCACAAGAAGCAAAACCTTATAGTACTTGAGCATTTGCGGTCTCTTCAATTTGAATGTGGGAGTTACTAAATCTCTCTCTATGTCAAAGGGAATTGGTTCCAGATGAACAGCTTTTAGCAGCTCAAATCCTCTAAGCTGAGAGAGGTTTCTTTCATGTTAGATGTAGCAAGGACAAGCAAAATATCTTACTAGTAGAAATTAGCAGCATAATATGGGGAATTATATATACATACTTGGTGTTTCTGACCAGTGCTGTTGAGCTCATCCAAAATGTATTTTCTTGCCTTTAGATTTTCACATAAAGATTTAAAGTCACCAGTTAAATTGTGCTCTAGCGCCCAATCCTCAAGGGCTTTTCTTTCAGGCACCACCACAGCCACCAAGAATGACTCAAAACTGTTTCCATACACCCAAATCTGCAAACAGAAGAATTTTTTTTAATCCATTATTGAACTACATAAATTTAGTAATTGAGGTAACTGCAATGCTACTTTGTAAATGATCTTTCCTTAAAATCTTAATGTCCAACAAAAAATGCAATGTAACTCATGCGTCTCTAATTTTACAAACTGTTCTGTGATTGATGAAGAACCATACCGATGTTACAAGAGGGCATTGCAAATACTTGTTTTCAATATTCTCAACAGCAATATATTCTCCTTGAGACAATTTAAAGATATTCTTTTTCCTATCAATAATTTTCATGGCTCCATTTGGTTGCCATTCTCCAATGTCACCTGCAAAACATATTGCATTTAGAGCCAATGTAGCAACTGGAATAATCTATATGTTGTATATGAAGCTAAAAAATAGTGGAGAAAGTTAGGAGTTTTTATTAAAGGGCAATCACCACGATACACAAGGCTCTGTTGAATAAACGTTAAATGTGGAGTTATGTGTCAGTTTAATTTTTAATGGGTTTAATTCAGCAATCAATTTAGTTTTTAATGGGTTTAATTCAGCAAACGTTAAATGTCAGTTTTATGTTTTTAAGTTTCTGAAATTATGTGAGTTTATTGTGATGTTAAGTGTCTTTATTGTAGAGTTACAAGTTTTGTAATTTAAAAATCTATTGTTTGAATGTAAAAGTTACGACTTCTGCCTTAGTAAAAATCCTTTGTTTTACTCTTCTCCTAACAAATTGGTATCAGAGCTATGGAAAGGGGGAGTGATATGGCACTACCTAAGTTGACGAAGGAGAACTACGAGAATTGGAGCATCCAGATGAAGGCTCTTCTCGGATCCCAGGACGCTTGGGAGAATGTTCAAGCAGGTTTTGTAGAACCACAGGATACTGGAGGCTATTCGGCGGCTCAAACTAAAGCGTTGAAAGAGACGCGTGCAAAAGACAAGCTGGCGTTATTCATGCTCTTCCGAGCTGTAGACGAATCCGGGTTCGAGAAGATAGCAAATTGTGAGACCTCAAAGGCAGCCTGGGACATCTTGGCAAATGTCTATAGAGGAGCTAACCGGGTTAAACAAGTCCGGCTTCAAACCCTTCGTGCCGAGTTGGAGGGAATGAAGATGAAGGACACAAAAGGAGTATCCGGGTTCGTTGCCCGGGTTCAAGGAATTGTGAACCAGTTGAAACGGAATGGAGAAGATATACCTGACACCAGAGTGGTGGAGAAAATCTTGAGATCTTTGACAGACCAGTTCGAAAACGTGGTTTGTGCGATAGAGGAGTCCAAGGATCTGTCTACACTCACCATTGACGAGTTGGCGGGTTCCCTTGAAGCGCATGAACAAAGAAAGAAAAAGAAGGAGGAAACTCTTGAGCAGGTACTTCAGACCAAAGCAACAATTAAAGATGAGAAGATGCTCTATTCTCAAAGTTTCCGAGGTAGAGGACGTGGCCGCAGTGGACGAGGTACTAGCCGTGGTGGTAGAGGTCGAGGCCGAAGTCAAGAAGTGTATGGTGATGAGGTAGGACAGTCAAATCAACAAAACTGGAGAGGACGAGGACGAGGTCGACGAGGAGGTCGGTCACATTATTCAAACATCGAGTGTCACAAATGTGGAAAGTTTGGTCACTATGCGAAAGATTGTAACTCGGACAAGTGTTACAACTGTGGCAAAGTCGGACATTTCGCAAGAGAATGCAGAGAGGAGAAAAAGGTGGAGGAGACGTCCAACCTAGCCACAGAAGGCGAGATGAAGGATGGTGTCTTGTTAATGACACACAGTGAAGGAAGTCCTGACGATGACATGGAGTGGTATCTTGACACGGGTGCGAGCAACCACATGTGCGGACATAAACACTTCTTCAAGGAGATGATAAAAGTGGAAACCGGACATGTTTCGTTCGGGGATGCCTCAAAGGTTGAGGTAAAAGGCCGAGGTACGATCTGTTTCCTACAAAAGGACGGGTTAATTGGCTCAATTCGAGATGTGTACTATGTACCCGACCTAAAAAGCAATATTTTAAGCATGGGTCAACTGATGGAGAAAGGTTACGCGGTTATTATGAAAGACTGGGTATTGTATTTGAAAGATGAGCAAGGTCGGATGATAGTCCGAGTTCAAATGGGTAAGAATCGTATGTATAAACTGAATTTGAAATGTGTACAGGTTGAATGTTTACAAGCCGAGGTAGAAGATAAGGCGTCACTTTGGCATCTCCGGTTTGGTCACCTACATTATGGTGGTCTAACCAAGTTGGCAGAGAAAAAGATGGTGGACGGGTTACCTGACATAAACTTTGAAGGAAAGTTTTGTGAGAGTTGTGTACTTGGCAAGCATGCCAGGACCACGTTTCAGAAGATGGCAAGATTCCGGGCTAAGCAACCTCTGGAACTAATACATACCGACTTGTGTGGACCCATCAATCCGGGTTCCTTCAGCGGTAAGAAGTATTTTATTTCCTTTATTGATGATTTCTCACGGAAAACTTGGGTTTACTTTCTGAAGGAGAAGTCCGAGGTGTTTGATGTGTTCAAAAAGTTCAAGGTGATGATTGAGAAAGCAACAGGAAGCTATATCAAATCGGTGCGGTCTGACAGAGGTTGGGAATATACCTCAACAGCGTTTATGTCGTTCTGTGAGGAACATGGGATAAGGAGGTTTCTAACAGCACCATACTCACCACAACAGAATGGCGTGGCTGAAAGGAAGAACCGGATTATTCTTGACATGGTTCGGTCAATGCTGAAGAACAAAAGGATGCCGAAGGAGTTTTGGGCGGAAGCTGTGCAGTGTGTTGTGTATGTGCAGAACCGATGTCCACATTCAAGCTTGGATGACAAAACACCACAGGAAGCATGGAGCGGTCAAAAGCCTTCAGTGGCTCATCTCAGAGTTTTTGGTAGTGTGGCCTATGCACACATACCGGACCAGCTTAGAACCAAGCTCGAGGATAAAAGCAAGAAATATGTTTTTATTGGATATGATGAAAAAACAAAGGGGTATAAGCTGTTTGACCCCGTCAACAAGAAAGTCATAGTGAGCAGAGATGTAAAGCTCAATGAAGCAAATGAGTGGGACTGGAGCAATTCATCTGAGATAAACTTTGAAGACGGAATCACAACACAAATTATCAACCCGGCAAGTCCTGAAGCTTCTGATGATGAAGACGAGGTACGACAACCCAGGATGCGGAGCATACAAGACATATATGAGTCAACAAGTGAGGTACATTTTGTTTGTCTTCTTGCAGATTCTGAAAATATAAGCTTTGAAGAAGCCATCCGAGATAAGAAATGGCAAGACGCCATGGATGAGGAGATAGAAGCCATTGACCGAAATAACACATGGGAGTTAGCCGAGCTACCAAAAGGAAGTCGGCCCATTGGAGTGAAGTGGGTGTTCAAGAAGAAGATGAATGCTCAAGGGGAGATAGAACGATATAAAGCTCGGCTAGTTGCAAAAGGTTATAAGCAGAAGGCTGGAATTGACTATGACGAGGTGTTTGCCCCTGTTACAAGGATGGAGACAATTCGGCTACTCATCTCACAGGCTGCTCAATACAGATGGCCAATACATCAAATGGATGTAAAGTCGGCATTCCTGAATGGTGTTCTTGAAGAAGAAGTTTATGTGGAACAACCGTCGGGCTACATGAAGGCAGGAGAAGAGAAGAAGGTGCTGAGATTGAAGAAAGCACTTTACGGGTTGAAGCAAGCACCACGAGCATGGAATGCTCGTATTGACAAATATTTCAAAGAGAATGGACTTGAACAATGTCCATATGAACATGCTGTTTATGTCAAGAAAAATGGAGGAGACTTGTTAATTGTGGCTCTTTATGTTGACGACCTCATTTTTATGGGAAACAATGCCAAGATGATACAAGAGTTCAAGAGCACAATGACAAGAGAGTTCGAAATGACAGATCTCGGTTTTATGAAGTTCTTTCTCGGTTTGGAAGTAAAACAAAATGAGAAGGGAATTTTCGTGTCACAGGAGGCTTATGCAAAAAAGATTTTGAAAAAGTACAAGATGGAAGATTGCAACCCGGTTTCAACACCAATGGAACCCGGTTCAAAACTTTCTAAGTTTGATGGAGGAGACCGTGTTGATGCAAGCAAGTACAGAAGTTTGGTGGGAAGCCTACGCTATCTCACATGCACGAGGCCGGATATCTCGTTGAGTGTCGGCATAGTAAGTCGGTTCATGGAGGAGCCAAGATACACACATTGGAAGGCGGTAAAGAGAATTCTGAGGTATGTTCAAGGTACAGTTTCACACGGGTTACACTACTCGAGCTCGGCAAAATACAAGTTGATTGGATATTCTGACAGTGATTGGTGTGGAGACGTAGATGATCGAAAGAGCACGGCTGATTATGTGTTTTTCATGGGCAACACGACATTCACTTGGATTTCAAAGAAGCAACCTATTGTGACACTGTCGACATGTGAAGCTGAATATGTAGCTGCATCTTGGTGTGTTTGTCATGCAATGTGGCTCAGGAATTTGCTAAGCAAGCTGGAGGAAAAACAAGTCGGCCAAACTGTGATCCGAATTGACAATAAGTCGGCTATAGAGCTAGCCAAGAACCCGGTAAATCATGAAAGAAGCAAGCATATTGACGTCCGATTTCACTTCATCCGGGATCAAGTAAAGGAAGGAAATGTGGAGCTAACACACGTGACCAGTCAAGAGCAAGTCGCGGATATCTTCACGAAACCACTACCGACGGTACTCCTTGACAACTACAAGAAATTGATCGGCATGAAGGATGGCAGAAGCATTTAAGTTTACGTGGGAGTTTTGTTGAATAAACGTTAAATGTGGAGTTATGTGTCAGTTTAATTTTTAATGGGTTTAATTCAGCAATCAATTTAGTTTTTAATGGGTTTAATTCAGCAAACGTTAAATGTCAGTTTTATGTTTTTAAGTTTCTGAAATTATGTGAGTTTATTGTGATGTTAAGTGTCTTTATTGTAGAGTTACAAGTTTTGTAATTTAAAAATCTATTGTTTGAATGTAAAAGTTACGACTTCTGCCTTAGTAAAAATCCTTTGTTTTACTCTTCTCCTAACAGGCTCCCCGACTCGCGAGGCTAGGGGTCAGAGTTGGTTATATGCAGCCTTACTCTTATATTTTTACAAAGAGGCTATTTCCAAGACTTGAATCCGTGATCTTTTGGTCATAAGGAGCAATCATTTTCCATAATAAATAATACTAAAATTCAAGTGGAGAATTCTAATGAAGGCCAAAAAAAGAATTTTTGGTTGATTTACAAATCACTGTTTGAATCCAGAATAACTTGGAGATTTACCTGTATGAAACCAACCATCAACCATAACTTCTTTAGTAAGATCTTGACGCTTGTGATAACCAGAGAACAATGTAACTCCTCTCAGGCAAATTTCTCCACGGGGTTCACTGGAAAGTGCATCATATCCCATCTCTGGCACAGATTCAAGCCTGGCCTCAATGGTTGGCATAGGTACTCCAACTGTTCCTGTCATAGAAAACACATCACCTATCGCTGAGAAACACCCGGCACAACTTTCAGTAAGACCTGTCACATCAAAATGATAATAAATTAATATGACATAGAGAAGTACAATTAACATGTGACCACTATAATGGAATGGACTCCTATAAAATAAGAAGAAGAAAAATCAAGGAATAGAAAAATCAAGCTAAAACTGTTTTATAGGATGGAACCATTTCTCATGAGAGATGACTTTCATTCAAACTTTAGCCATGATTCAAAATAACTTTGATTAAATTCTACATTGAAGTGTTATCATCTAAATGTTGTAAACTCCTCCTACACATGTTTAGCAGAAGATTCATATACTATACCATATCCTTGGCATAATGTAGTTCCACTTGTGACTCTCATAAACTCCTCCACATGCCTAGGCAAAGGAGCAGCTCCTGATAACAGGATTCGAACACGTCCACCTAGTGCTTGTTTTGTCTATCAATAGAACCAATATTTTAGTTTTGAAACCAAACTTTAGGAAAATAACTCATAAAGATTAGTGGTATACCTTATCAAACACAAGCCTATCAAATAAAGGTGCTGCTTTGTCCTGTGGAAGACCCTTCTCCAGATATCTTAACTTGCTGTTAGTAGACTCCAGATTAGTTTACACACAGATAGATAACTAAAACACTTGAGTTTAGTGGCAAAACATACTAGTTGTATGCACACTGAAATAGTGTACTTTTCAATGCTCCTCCAGATGAAACTTTGCTATTGATACCTTCAGGTGCAAAGCTTCTAGTTAATGCTTATTGGATAATGTAATTACACAAGTATAAGAAACTTAAAGTATATTTTTAGATCATTATTCAAATATGGTAGTCACACAAGAGAAGTGCATAAGAAGCATTCCTGTCTTACCAGCATAAATTCGGTCAAAAACTCTAGGAACACCACAAAATATAGTTGGTTTCAGCGCCTGAACATCTTCCATCAAGAACCTGACATCCTGCAAGAATTGAAGATAAAATTCCGTAAGAAGAATTAAAACAGAACACTTAAAGAATGAACCAGAAACTAACTACATTAAGTGAATCAAAATCTTACGCCTTGCCAAAATCCTATTGAGGAGCCCCTCAAGATGCAATAGGTCTCCATTATCTGGTCATAGACATGAGCAAGAGGAAGAAAGGAGAAGTACACATCGTCTTCTGCTGCCTAAAAATATTACAATGTTACATATTTCTTGTCCGCACTATAGTGTTTCACAAAGATGAGAAACTGAACATTATCTTTTACTCATTATGCTAATCTTGAATATGATTAACCCATTTAATGTAAGGTAAGACTGCCTACTATAAACCCATACAATGGGTTTAACCCTTCCCTAGACCTTGTGCATAGCATGAGCTTTATAGCATCAGGTTACCCTTTTATCATTAGCTCATTTAACATATATCACTAAGAGGAATGATGAGCATTACTTTTCTTAGCTTAATGCAAGGAAACTTAACTAAGTCTGGTGCTGCATCATTGGTTTTAACTACTTGTTTAATGCATGGGAAATAGATAGAGTTTAACCTACAACCTCCAGGGCATATACTATATACAGCCAATGAGTATAGTTTTTCATCATATCTTATATCAAGACTTCCACCAGCCATTAATTAAAATATCATTGGGGTTTGAGTGTCATTGCATTGGTTTTAAGTATTATGTTTCTGTTTGAGAATCATTGAGACATTTATCAACATTACAGTCAAAAAAGATTAGCGTGGCAGAGTTTGCCGGAGTCAAAAAAAGTATAACATGAAACTAATGAAGATTCAAGAAAAAATGGTTATCTTACCACTCTGTCTGTTAAGAAAAGTATATGGTCAATAGACAACACTTCAGCCATGAAAGCCTCATTCCTAATAATGACACCTTTGGGTTCTCCAGTTGTTCCACTTGTGTACATTATTGTGCAAATGTCAGTCTTCTTTTTTGATGGTAGATCCCAATCCAGACTTCCCTAGAAAAAAGAATAAAAAGGGAGATACTAAATTGTTATAAAAATTATCTCAGAATACTCAATCAAAATGGTTCTTGATCCTAATCTTGAACACCAATAGACAACTGATAAGTGATAACCAGGTTGAACATCTTACCAACTGGAGAAACTCTCCCCATGAGAAGCAGGATGTGCCATGCTCCTCAGCTTCCTTCTTTTGTGTGGTTGAAACATTTCCAAAGCTCACAATTGCTACACCATTAATTTACAGAGGTTGGTCAGCATTAAATGGAGGAAAGACACTTAATCTTGGAGTAATTAAGATAGCAATGCTTGACCTACTTTTAAGATTTGAAGAACACCGATCAAGACATGACAAAATCTGTGGAAAAAGATATTAGTTCAGTAGGGAAAAAAGGATGTAGATGCCCAATTCTGTCTCAGATGATAAACTAATTATCTTTAAGAAATTCAATGGTAACTTACTAATACAACCAAATGTAGTAAATGACAATGTGAAGAAGGAAAGGCAATAGGTGTGACATTTTGTCAACTTCAAAAAATGAAAACTGATTTTGCACTACTTTTCTAAGCAAGTGACATACAGAACTATCATAAAATAAATTATGCACATGATTCATCTAAAAAGGCTGCTAATGGCTTTCTCATATAGTTGATTGTAAATGAAGATAGTTATATGTTAAAGGTAGTATCCAGAATATAGCAAAATAATTGTCATAAACGCATTTTGTAACTAAAGAAATGACCCTTCCATAATATGCACATTCACTAAGAGAGAATCAACAGTGAGGAATAACCAGAGAGTCTGTTAGAAATCATGCTTTAGAAACTGCAATATTTTTAATTATTTAGGAGTCAGTTTTTATTTCTGTTTTAATGAGTTGTTAAGTAGTGAGCAGTTACTTTTCTGCTTTAATGGGTAGTTATGAGGTGAGCAGTTTTCTTTTCTATTGATGGGAAGTTATGTAGTCGTGAGCAGTTTCTTTTTATTATTTTCTTTATAAGTTGTATTGTTATGCATCAATAAAGTTGTACCTCATTTCTCAATTATATTTTTCATCTCCAAAACCAACAATTGGTATCAGAGCCCTTTTCTTACGGGACCTGTAGAATGGATTATGAAACAAGTTTTTCCCAAGCAGCTCTTCCAGTTTTCAATGGGGAAAACTATGATCTTTGGGCCGTCAAAATGGAGGCTTACCTAGAGGCTTTGGATCTTTGGGAAGCTGTAGAAGAGGATTATGAAGTCCTTCCTCTGCCGGACAATCCCACCATGGCCCAGATCAAGAATCATAAGGAGAAAAAAAACCGAAAAGCAAAGGCAAAATCATGCCTTTTTGCTGGTATCTCTACAACCATCTTTACTAGGGTCATGACTCTCAAATCGGCAAAAACAATTTGGGACTATCTAAAGGCAGAATATGCTGGAGATGAAAGAATTCGAAGCATGCAGGTGCTTAACTTAATGAGGGAATTTGAGATTCAAAGGATGAAAGAGTCTGAAACAATCAAGGAATACTCAGACACATTGTTGGGCATTGCCAACAAGATAAAGTTACTGGGCGGTAATTTTGCAGATTCCAGAATTGTTGAGAAAATTCTGGTAACAGTGCCAGAGAGGTACGAAGCATCTATTGCTTCGTTGGAGAACACAAAAGATCTGTCTAAAATTACTTTTGCAGAAGTGCTACATGCTCTCCAAGCCCAAGAGCAGCGAAGATTGATGAGGGAAGATCATGCTATTGAAGGTGCTCTTCTAGCCAAGAGCCAACAAACTAATTACAACAAAGGAAAGGGTGAAAAGAAAAGTTACCCACCTTGTCAGCATTGTGGCAAAATGGGTCACCCTCCTTTCAGATGTTGGCAGAGACCTGATGCTAAATGCATCAAGTGCAATCAAATGGGGCATGAAGCAGTCATATGCAAGAGCAAAAATCAACAGCAAGAGGAAGAAGCTAAGGTTGCTGATCAAGAGGAGGAGGAGGAGGATCAACTCTTTGTGGCAACGTGTTTTGCAAGCAGCGAAGAGAGTGAGAGTTGGCTGATTGACAGTGGCTGCACAAATCATATGACCAATGACAGGGAGCTTTTCAAAAATTTAAAGCCAACCAATATCACCAAAGTCAGAATAGGCAATGGTGATTATATTTCAGTCAAAGGAAAGGGGACTGTTGCAATAACAAGTTGCTCAGGTACAAAGTTTATTCCTGATGTCCTTTTTGTACCCGAAATTCAACAAAATCTGTTGAGTGTTGGCCAATTGATTGAAAAAGGATTCAAAGTGCTTTTCGAAAATAGAGTTTGTCTCATTCACGATGAGAATGGAAAGGAAATCATCAAAGCAAAAATGAGAGGCAAGAGTTTCTCATTTGAACCAATCAAGGAAGAGCAAGCTGCACCAATCAAGGAGGAGCAAGCTGCTATTTCCACAGAGGAGAATGTGACTGAGACTTGGCACAAGAGACTAGGCCATTGTCACCTCTCAAATATGTTGTTGATGAAGAAGGAGCTTTCAGATGATTTACCAACCTTTGCAGATTATTTACCAACCTTTGCAAATTGTAATGCCTTTCAATTTGGCAAACAAAACAGAAATTCATTTCCTAAGTCAAGTTGGAGAGCCTCCAATAAGCTGCAGTTGATCCACTCAGATGTTTATTTTCATGAAGATAAGAAGTGGAACTGGAAACAAGCACAAGAGGCATCCATGAGTAAGCAGAAATCAGATCCTCTCATCCAAATAAGCAAAGAGCAAGGAGTGGAACATTGGCAAGAAGAGTTAGAAGATGACCCACCAGACCCACCAATTCGTGGAACAAGGTTGCTGTCCAATATTTATCAAAAATGAAATGTAGCCATTTGTGCACCTGCAAGCAAATTTGAAAATCTAAGGAAGAAGATTGGTGTTTGCAGCTCCAAAAGCAAGGAGGAGTGTTAGAAATCATGCTTTAGAAACTGCAATATTTTTAATTATTTAGGAGTCAGTTTTTATTTCTGTTTTAATGAGTTGTTAAGTAGTGAGCAGTTACTTTTCTGCTTTAATGGGTAGTTATGAGGTGAGCAGTTTTCTTTTCTATTGATGGGAAGTTATGTAGTCGTGAGCAGTTTCTTTTTATTATTTTCTTTATAAGTTGTATTGTTATGCATCAATAAAGTTGTACCTCATTTCTCAATTATATTTTTCATCTCCAAAACCAACAGAGTCCTAGTGTGGTTTGAAGCTTCAAGAAAAGCCATATCACTAAATAAAAAAAGGGTTTTATAATTCTCATGTTGAAGGAGAATTGAAACCTTATGTTGTAGAGATAAAAAGCATGTGGGACCCATGTGTTAGAAAAAATTATATGTAAGATTCATGTCAGCGCGGAAATCGAAGGGTGTGTAAGAAAATTGTAATTCTCATGTTAAATGAGAATTATAAAATCCATAAAAAAAACAGCAAAATTCTGGGTCACATTAAATGCAGGTTGATTCAGTCCATAAGGTAATTTCAACAATAGAACAATTAAATGTTATAGATAGTCCATCTTGAAATAGTAAAAGTTCGTGCACAAAGAACTAGAACATACTGATGGAATCTTTTTCTCCTGTACAAATGCAATTGAAACTTCAGCATGATTTATGATAAACTCCACCGCGTTAGGTCCTGTTAAGCATAAACCCAAGTTATAGAAAAGTCATTCCCTAACTGACACAATGAGAGAAGGAGTGTTGAGAAAGATAAACTTGATGAACTATGCTCTTATTTGTGTCCTCAGATTCTATAGGAGAAATGTTTCATTGAGACACTTGTTAAGGAAGGAAACACCACATACCAAGAGTGTCATATAAAGGAACATATGTTACTGCACAGCAATTACAAGCCTACAAAACAGTAAAGTTGAATCAGGTAAAGCCCCATTGGAATAATTAACAAAGCCAATTAATTTACAATAAGATATCAGAATTTGTGATGAAAAGTGAAGAATGATGATACAAACAAAGTGCTCTACCTCCATTGCAATGATCCATTCAGGGCAGTTGGAACCAAATATGCCACAACGATCTCCCTAATGATAAAAAAAAAAAAACAAAAAAAAAAAAAAAAAAAAAAAAACAAAAAAAAAAAACTAGTTAGATTATGAATATCAAAAAAACAACTAGTTAGATTATGAATATCACATTCAGTGATTCCCAATGTAAGTATAATGAAAGAGAAAAAAGTGTTGCACACTCACAGGATTGACACCAAGGCTCCTCATGGCAGAACCCATTTGGATGGCAGCATCATAAACCTCTTGATATGTGAGCCATGCATAGGGACCCACCTGCAAATTCAGCTCAATATTCACATAACTTTTCAGAATTTAAGGTGAATTTTTTTTTTTTTTTTTCCCATTAGTTTAGACTCTTGATTCTTGAAGCTATATGTTAGAGAGCAGTATAAACTATTAAAAAGGTCATCACTTAACATTTTAAGTTTTTGGATTGAATTAGTTCTTTATATGGTACGAGAGTCATGGGTTTGATCCTCACCGCACCCATTTAATTAATAATTAATTAAGTCTTAAGGAGTTTGTTAACACAGATAGGTACAACTTAAAATTTTTGGTTGAATTGATTCTTTAGACTATTATGCATGGAACAGAAATAAATAAATTGGTACCTTTGAATCGGTTTTTTGACGCCTTCCAAGCATTGGGTTGTTGGGGTTTCTCTTAGCAGAGTCCCTACCATAGAAAGCATCAAAACTGCTAAGAAGAAATGCTCAAAGCCAAATACTACTACCCTTTATTGTTATTATCATAGTTTTTTATCTAACTTATTCTAGTAAATAGTGACGTGTAATTTTTTATAAATTTATCACATAATAGCCATGTGACACATAATTATGGAATATATAATTGATGAAGAACATTACATGCCATTGATAAATTGAGAAATTAAAATGAACAATAAAAAATTAATTAATATTAGTGAATCAAAAACTATAAATTAAGTGACCTCAGTATTATCATTGTTGGTTGAAACGAAATACTAATAATGCTACTTCTGATTAACTATGTGTGGTACCAAAAATAAAAATAAAAAGATATTCAATTCAATGCATTGCATTGTCAGGTTCTGGAGTGCCACTAAAACAAAAAGGTTTTCCTTTAAACACTTGACTTTAAAAAGCTTTTACAAAATAACGTTATGCATTACTAAGAAAAACTATGGGTGCCTGCAAAAATGTTTCTAACAAATTTTTTTTGCAACAATTGATTATAACTATGTATTACGAGTAGTACATAGTTATAATAATAAAATTATTTTTTTTTTTTCCTCAGACATTGTCGAGCTGACGTGGTGAAGAGAAAAAAAATTATTTCACCGTTATAACTATGTACCACTCGTATTACATAATTAAAATCGGCTGCTGCACATAAATTTTCTAGAAAGGAGAAGTAGATTTCCCAAAAACTATTGTTGTTGTAAAAGAAAACTAAGCAAAACTATAGTGACCTGAAGAAATCCCAAGGGGATTGTGAATGAGAAGGCAACTCCAAAAGACCATCTTTGGCATAAATGCACCTATAGACAGGCCCTACTGATGGCTTTCCATCAGTTGCAGGCATTCCCTCTTCCACCTTCACAGTGTAAACCTCTGGCATTGTGAACTGCAACTGAAATGGAATGTGCAGAACTGTGTCTTACAGGTGATGATGATGATGGTCCTAAACACAAGTGGGGTTATATACTTATATCCGTGTCCTGCAATAAATTAAGGTAAAGGGTATAGATATATGAATTTTCAAAGAAAGAGATGTATGTGCATGTGATCCTGCAGGGAGGGCGTTGGGAAAGTAAGTTGAACCAAAGGCAATGAATTCTATGATTACTTTTGGTTGAGAATATATGAACAATATTTGTAATGCTCTTTCATTACCCTCTTTCAGCTGTTTCTGTCTTTTTCTGTTTGCATGTTTTTCAGCAACTCATGACCCCCCTCTAAGCATTTATATTGGCTGTGAAAGTTTGGTGAAGCTACCCTTTCCATTATCACAGTAGACAAAATCATAAACAGAGAAAAAAAAGAGAGGCAAATAACCTTTGGTTCTGTTATTATTTTTATTATTTAGATTTAAATTGGTAAGAAATTAAACAAAAAACTATAGACTTTGTCCTATGTTTATATTATGGGGAAGGATATTGTAACAATCAAGTTATGTTACTATCAAGTTACTACTAATCAATCTCATCGTTAGATCGATTATGTTGATCCAACGGTTATATTTATTTTCATCTTTGTATGGTCATGATTTCTCAAATTTAATACTTTATATTTATTTCCACCTTTGTATGGTTATGATTTCTCATATTTAATGCTTTCACTTTAAATATGGAGAATCATAATCATACAAAGATGAAAATAAATATAACCGTTGAATCAACATAATCGATTTAACGGTGAAATTGATTGGCAGTAACACAACTTTGATTGTTATAATATTCTTCTCCTTATATTATATGGAGGCTTGAAAAAAAAAATCTTCCTATGTTCTGAAAAATGAACATATAATATCTCGTACGTTAATGCATGCCTATTAATGACCGTCATTGCTGATAATGAAGCCACTTGGCTGGCCAATAATGCACCCTGAAATCCAGCATGATATCTTGCTAATGTTAGTCAAACATGTTGTTGTGATGAGGATGAAGATGTCATCCAAACGCATTAATTGAGTGTGTAGTTTAAAGTTTTATTTCCTTAAAAAAGAAAATCATATCCAATGCCGGCCTTTCATTCTGTACTTTTGTTTGAGAATTTCAGCAGAAAATCTAGTCAAACGTAATTACTTTATTTTATATTTGTGTCCTAATACTTGCTAGTTGTGTAACGTTTTCTTGTACTTTTTGTCTACCCAATTTGTAACATTTTACCAACTTGGTAAATATGAAATGAAAAATGAAAATAATCAATGGGGTGGCAAACCATAAAAGAAGAAAAAAGATTGTTTGTTAAGTTATAGGTAGGAATATATAATTGATGCATGTAGTTAGGAATTGGTGCAACAAAACTTATTATTAGGTGCAATTAATACGATGCCGTGCCAATGTTAACAATATATACGTATAAAGTAGCTTAATATAAGTAAGCATATAGTCCAGTAGATGGTTGAACCGATCTTGATTGAACAGTCATGGCAAAGAAATTTGTCAAAACGACTCTGTCAAACATTTATTAGAAACATCTTCTGGGATACACCCTTTTTCGAACTACGTCAAACTTTCTTCAGTGGTAATAGAGATATTGTATGGACAATAAAAAGAGAGTACATCAAATTATTGGCCAATTGAAAAGATAGCCACTTACACCTAACTTTTTGTGCTACCTTTAATGTTCCATGCAACATTAATTGCGAACGGCATATGTGGACACTACAAATGAATAATACAATAGACAATAATTAGAATATTTATTTCTTTTAAAAAAATTCACAAGGGGGTATGGTTACACAGCTTAGACGTAACTTGGAATTTCCTTCCTAATACGTTGATTTTGTAGCCCCTTAAATCTATGACAGATTAATAAGTTCATTCTGTGTTGAGCACGTGGATTTATTACAAATTATTTTAGCTTAATCAATAATCCCTAATTAAAATCTTGATAGAGAAAACTTTATTATCCTTGTGATTCTACTCAATTTAACAAATTAGTCGAGTAATTACTGAATCGATAGAGAAATCTTGTAACATCTCGGGCGCTGACGAGGATGGGGAGTGATTGTTGGTGCGCAAGGGCATGGTGTGCAAGGGCACAGACAAGGAGTGGCTCCTGGCAGACTTCCAACAGCAGGAGATACATGAATAAATCGAATCGACACCCGAAAGAGAGGGATTCCAAAGACTGTGCAGTATGAGACTGCACAGTTGGGGATAGCTTATAAGAATTAATTTGTGCTACCTATACTAACAAGATGCATCTACTTTTTGGTAGCCCAGAACGGAAGAACTCTATAATTAAGCGTGCTTGACTTGCAGTAATTCTGGGATGGGTGATGTAACACCCCGTATATATCCGATAATGTTATCATAATATCGTATTAAGCTGCGCTTAATTAAAAATGCGGAATTACTTTTTCTTTTCAATTATGATGCCATTAACATTACCAACTTGCTTAATAATCAATTAATAAAACATCGTCTGGATGTAATTGTAATAAAACAGCTAACTGAAAAACCTCATAACATAGATAATATAAGTGTGGCTCTAGTCACGGGACTACAACAATGTAGACCGGACCATCTAACAGTTTATACAACTCCAATCTAAAAGTACTAACAGAAAGTGTCATAGACAATCCCCATGCTCACTCAAATAAGGCAACATGCCCAACATCAGTCTCAGCAACAACATATCATAAATAACGGAAAACATAAACAGCATCCAAATCCAGTCATGCTAACATAAAGCAGTAAAACATAATCAGCTAAGCTCCGGCCTCCTGTCGCCTGAAGCATCAGTACACGTACTACCTGATCCTGAAATAAGCATTCCCCAAACGTGGGGTAAGATCTCTAATCTAGAAATCTCAGTAAGTCAGTGAGTCCTCAAGGATCTTCCACCTAAGCTCACTTACATGTGCAATACAAGTTCAAAAGCAGTTTATCATTTATCATTTCTAAAACAATGCAATGCAGAAGATAATCATGCCATGTGTGTCATTACTAATCTACTGACCAGAGACAGTGCAGGTATACGTCTATCACCTACACACCGTGCAAGTACCACTTGTATTCACCCCGGTACACCGTCTTGTATGGCGCTACATACTCAGGCTTCCCATCAAGATGAAACAACACATGCATATTAAAAGCCATTACATGTAAAGTTCAATCAACATATCAAATATCTAAAAGCATGTACACAACATGCATAAACCATACCCACATGGGACATGGTGGAACCACAACATGGCTAAACCGAGGACACGAAAGCTTACCTTGCAAGCTAACTCCAAAAGCCAAGAGTCCACAGCTCAAAGTCCAAACACAGCAGATTCACAATCTGTTATGGACCAATACTATATCAATAATAATGCAACACAAGCATATAACTTAAAGACAACGCCTTTCCTTACGTTCTACGTCTTAAGGCTCCATACCAAGCCATAAGTCCTTAATCACAACGATTCTGACTTAAATCATTAATTACAGAAGTCCAACCTCATCAATCTAGGGTCCACAAACCCCCAATAGCCTACTGTACACACAGCACAGCTACTGTTCTACGAAATCCCAGAATATCCGGATATTCCTCAGGACCATATCCGGATATTCAATATCCGGATATCTCACTGTGCATATCCGGATATCCAATATCCGGATATCCAGAATCCCATATCCGGATATCTATTATCCGGATACTCAAAACCCATATCCGGATATCACATATCCGGATATTCATCGGGCACATATCCGGATATTTCACGACAGAATGCAGAAAATGCATTTCGTGAAGATATCCATCCAAGGTTGGGACGATTTAAAGCACCTAAACATGCATTTCTAGGTGTGTTCAACATTACCCAACAACAAGTTATCATCTTTAAGCCTTAACATGCATCAAGCTTTCATTTTTAAGCATTAAACTCATGATCAAAGGTTGGTACACATACCCCAGCTCAAAATAGAAGAAGAGGTTGCTCTTTGGAGCTCACAATCAACCCTTCAAGACTGACTCAACAAGGTGCACGAAAATGGATCAACAAGCTTGGGCCTTTCAACACAAAGGAAGCTTCTTGGACCTCACAATGCCAAAACAAAGGCTCCCACAAACAACCAACCCAAGTCAACCTCAAAACCTCACTCACAGCAGCTCTTTCAACTCAAAAAAGACCAGCAATGGAGTCCCAAAGCTAGCTCTCACCCTCACCAAGTGTCTCCCAAGTGAAAGTGTGAAGAAAATCAAGAAAGGAAGTGTCTTGGACCCAAAATGGAGAAGAAATCCCAAGGAGCAGCCAAGCTGATCAGCCACCCTCACGTAGAGAATGTAATATGGCCTAGGGTTTAGTGCCCACTAAGGCTTATATAGTGGTTTAATAATTAAACACACAATATTAACTTTAATTGCTACGCTTAGCATTTTAATCCCAAACTTTGGATTATGAAACTACATAATTTTCTAAGATTTATCATATTTTTCTTATAATTTTCTGAGCACCTTTCTGGTAGGCGCTTTTCTAAGCCAGTACCGGTTTCTAGCACCAGTTCTCATTATTTGGACTTGAAACTCGTTTTACAAGTCCTACACATCATTCTAGTAATTATCATGCACTTACTTTAATTTTCCGGGACACTTTTTCGGTACTCATTTATACCGACTAGCAGAACCGGTATCTGCACTTTTCTTCCGAAAAATGACTTTCAGCATTATTATCGCTTACTATAATTATTAAAACCTCATAATAATTATTAGGGTCAATTATGGAATCATTTACTATTTTCTCATAAGTTATAATTAAATTCCTTAATTAACGGTGCGGGTTCTTACAGGTGACCTCCTGGAAAGTTTTCACAGGAAGTGTGCAAGTGAGGACAAAACACACTGAAAAGTCTCGTGTTAGTATGTGGGGATAGTCATTGATTCTTGAAGCGGCCGGGCGTTACAAGTAGTATCAAAGCAGGGCCTCTCTTCCAGTATGGTGTGGTTCAAGGATGAACCAGGCGGAAGCTGGTGGGCATATAACATCCTGGGTGCTGACGAGGGCAGGGAGATTGCCGGTGCGCAAAAGCACAGACAAGGAGCGGCTCCTGGTAGGCTTCTAGCGGTGGGAGTACATTAATGAATCAAATTGACACCCGAAAGAGAGGGAAGACTGTGCAGGTATGAGACTGCACAGTTGGGGATAGCTTATAAGAATTAATTTATACTACCTATACTAACAAGATGCATCTACTTTTCAGTAGTCCAGAACGGAAGAACTCCATAATTAAGCATGCTTGACTTGCAATAATTCTGAGATGGGTGACCTCCTGGGAAGTTTTCTCAGGAAGTGTGCGAGTGAGGACAAAACATACTGAAAAGTCTCGTGTTAGTATGTAAGGATAGTCATTGATTCTTGAAGCGGCCAGAGATTACAAATCTAACAAAAATTAAGTTTGTGTAACATCAATTATATAGGTCATTATCATTTTTCAATTTAATTACACATTTTACTTTTTAATTCTGATCATTTATAGATATAAAAAAGCAATGGTGGTGCACGTATAAGTGACACGGCATAAGTTTAGTGGTATAGTGTATTTTGTACTTGAGAATTTCTCGATATTGTAATTGCAATTCTCAATTGAATGACATGCTAGAATGTCCATATTTTTTTAGGAGTAAATACTCTTTTTGGTCCTCAGCAAATTTCACGATACCCGCTTTAGTTCCTAGCAAATAAAAAGGTTATTCGTGGTCCCTAAAAAATTCAAAATAGACCTATTTAGTTAAAATCGTAGTCCCTCACAAATTCAAAAAAAAACTCATATTAGTCTCTCAAAAGGACTAAAATGGGTCCACTTTGAATTTTTTAGGGACCACAAATAGCTTTTTTATTTACTAAGGGCTAAAGCGAGCATCGTAAAATTTGCTGATGACCGAAAATGGTATTTATTCTTTTTTTAAATGATTAATTTTTTTTTCATATCATATAATTATGTTTAATTTGGTGAAAATCGTTTAGATACACGATAAGTGGACAACCATGATTAAATGATAGTAAAAAGGATTGATAATAATAATAATAATAATAATACAATTTAAAACTAAAATTAAACAAGATCATTAAAAAAAAAATTAATGAAAAGAGAGGACCAGGCGATGCCGTGACCGTACGTTTTTGTCTATTTGGCCCAACATGAAACCTAATGGGCTGGGTTTTGTATTGTGAATACAACTATGTTTGGGATTAAGAACATGTGATGCTAGCTCATGGTAATTATAATTATGTATGCTACTTTCAGGTCCACTACTAGTCTACTATACAAAAAAAGTTATATTTATCTCATTTTGTATGGGATAACTAAATTTTTTACACACACAAAAGATGTGTGAGTCCTATTTCTTTTTTTCTCTCCCTCCTCTTACCTATGGGTCCCATTTGCAATCTTGTTTCTACAACATAAGAAAATTATTTCCCATACAAAAAAAACTATAACTTGAGAGGGAATTAAGACAAATTAATGGTGAAAACAAAGTATCCACTAACACCAAAATAATCATTCCTTATGCAACTAGCTTATCACATGAATTTCTCAATATCATCCAAAACTTCTCAAAATATTACTTATAAAGACGAGGGATGATTAACATGGGATATTTATTTAATTGAAGAGAAAAGTAACAAGAGTTATTAGTCTAGTTGCGACAAAGCTAAACTTCAGGATTTGACCTCCTCACAAAATAGCGGATATGATTCTTAAGAATCACAACTTTTAGAGAAGGTGAAGAGATTCAAATCTAAAACTGAATTAATCAGATTTCCGGTTAATATTAAAAAAAAAAACATTATTTACACACTACTATAACATTCATTAGGTGAAAATGAGATAGTTTCCACTCTTTAAACTCTTTTTTTTTGTTTTTTTATAAAGAATAAACCCCTAAATCAGTCTCTTAAATAAACACGACACAGAACATTAGTCTGTAGAAGAATGAAAAAATGCATCCTATAGTCCTTAAAGAGTACAATCAAGAGACCCGTTAGTCCATTTTTCAAGTGGGTTTTGTAAAACGGATCCACGTGACACGTGGCACCTTAATATAATTAATTAACATTCACTTGATCTACATGTTTTTCTCATGTGAAATTTTAATCAAAGAATTAAGCTATTTATAACATAAAAATCTAAAGCTCGAGTTGTATGATTCACATGTCAGCAACATGAAAAAACTCTCTTCAGTTGCCACGTCACCATATTGCTGATTTGTCAGCTTCTCCTTGAATTCCTTCTTTTACTTTGCCATGTAGCCAAAATTTAAGTGCATTTGATAGAGCTATTAGGGTTCTAACCGCACTCTTGGCTTTAGGTTCAGTTTCAGACTTTGAGTAACCAAAATCAATGTGTGTGGGAAGTCTCAACTAATGGTCTCAACAAAAATCATTTGGAAAAGAAACCGCCAAGTGCCAATTGCAATATTCAAGAGTTGATAAAAATGAGTGGATAGCTTCTTTCTTATTTTTTTAGAGTAGTACTATTTTCTTATTTTTTTTAGAGTAGTACTATTTTATTATGGAATTTATATATATATATATATATATATATATATATATATATATATATATAATGTTACAAGAGAAAAAAATTAATTCTCCACAGACACAATCAACTGGTGAGATTTACCCGTTTATTTTTTTCTCTTTTTTCAATTCACTTTCTCTCTCCTTATTATTGTCTCTACTGAAAACTTTTGTTTTGTCCCGTAACATTATTGTTGTATTTCCCTTTTTTTATACATTATATTGATTATAATTTCAATATGAATTTTATTGTATATATTATGGGAAATGAGTTTATCCTATTTCACGAAAGATATAAAAATCAGTTCCATCAGCCTTTTTTATTTAAAATTAGTGGGTCCCACATTTGTTTGAGCTACAGGGTTATAAGTTTGTCCTATAACATAAGAAACTTATAATATAATATATGTTTTTTTTTATTTTTGGAAATATTAAGAAAGCATAACAGCACTAGGTTGCCATGTTTTTATTATTTTTTTCATCCTTTTTCTTATAATATGCATCTTTGCACACAAAACTGAAGAAATAATGTTTCAGCTTAATTGCTAAAGATGGTTAGTTACTTATTTTGAAAGGATAAAGGGAAGTTGGAAGGAACAATTTCATTCTTAACAAAGAAAAAAGAGAGAAATGAGTACAAATGACGCAGAGTAGAAAAGAGAATCACATTCAACTTACACTTTAATCTCTTGCAAGTACAATTGTTGCAGAAGAATTGGATCATGTAAGTACCAAAACAAATGCCTCGCACTTTCTGGAAGATTCTAATGTTTGTTTATGTGGTAAAATAAAAACATAAAGAAAAAATGGTCAAAATATGAAAACAGATAAAAAAAAAAAAAAAAAAAAAAAAACCTCCTTATGCTTGTTCAACTGGATTGCTTGATTCTCCTAACTTTGTTCTTAAAGAAGCAGTATAGCATATATATATTCTACAATCATTCATCGCGCCCACTATGAAACTCCTTTCTCTTTGTGACACGTTGTAGCTGTAGTGCATCTTTGGTTATGCTTTTTAAATTGGTGATGGTAAGTGTACGACTCATACTTCGCATTTAGATGAGAATTTTTGTTGGTGAAACTCTCTCCCTTTCTCTTTTCATTTTCGGTTTATATGTGTTGCGCGATTGTCAATTTCTAAAAATGGAAAGGTTAGGATAAGTGATCGCGCTCTTTCAAGTTCATCAAATATTTGTCTTAAATTACATTCAAGCTTAAAAGAAATGTAGTATAACATAAGTTCATTCTCTTCATCCTTATTTTTCCTTATGTACGAAGAAAATTTAGAGAATTCTTCAAATCTGACTATGAATCCACTACTGCATTACCTTGCCTAATTTAGTGTGAATTTTGAATTTATCGCCCGCTCTCACAATATTTTCTAGCCCCGCAATTGGTGATAGTAAAGTTATACCCACAAGATCCTGTAGCCTCATAAGTTTAAACCAACTTGTTATGTAGCTTAATAAATATTACAAAATATAATATCTCTTTAATTAAGAATCAATCGATCCTTAGATTTGCATTATGGGTTATTAGCATTCTATATGAAGATACAAGTGGATAAGACCAAAAAACAGGTTAAAATTTCTCCCCTGGATCCAATTCCACCTAAAAGATTAGAAGCTAGAAGACAATTTAAAGATAAGGAATTTATTCGAACGTTCCTTTCTTTCTTTCAAAACTTTGAGATTGCGTGCATGTCATTCCCTATATATATATATATCATCATCTTTAACTTTCAGCTCAATGAATCCAACTAGACATATATCAAGAGAGGATTTCATTCTTTGCCTCATTTTAAAACACCCTATTGTCAAAAGATGAGAATAAATACTAAAGGTTATTGTAACCTTCTTTCAAACATTAGAATAAATCATTAGTTATATATATAACTAAAAAAATATCTGCACTGCTATTTACCATTTCTTCTTATACACATAAACTCCATTATATTAATAACCAATTCTTAAGTGCATAAGCAAATTGAAAACTTGTGCAACAAGTTTCTGATTAAGAATATATCATCTAAAGTAAAGAAATTTCGTATATATTCTCTTGTGGGGCATGACCTAATGAAATATACCTTATGTCTGCCTCTTTCTCTCTTCATATGTGTTGACCCAATATTCCCATGAACTCTATTTACCAACATGACCACCATCACCTCCATCACTAAAGGAGCATAATTCCTATCCAATTGCTTCAACCATAAGCTAAAATTAAACCCAAAAACCAAAGTTCAAAGCTCACTGTAATAACTGCCCTTCCTTATATAAAAAGGTCCAGGATTCCATATCACACCCCCTTCATATATTCTAATGTATTCAACATTCAATTCTCATCAGAAAGATCACACAAACATGAGCAACATGAAAAGCAGTGAGATATCCCATTTCAATCACCCAAAACACAAGCTCAGGTTTGAGTACTCTGAATTCCCATTCAAATGTGATGGTTGCAAGGAAGTTGGGATAGGCTCACGCTACAAGTGCTCCTCCAATTGTGACTATGATCTTCACATGCACTGTGCTATACCTTCACCATCTTTGTTCCACCCTTTCTATCCCAAATGTTCATTCCAGTTTCTCTCTAAGCCACCTGGTGACACACCACGTTATTGCAATGCATGTGAGAAGGGTGTAACAGGGTTCGTTTACCATTGCATGTCATGTGGTTTTGACCTTCACCCTTGTTGTGCTAAGCTTCCAATGGTGCTTGATGATGGGGAAGTGAAGCTATATCTATATAGGAAAGTGAGTTCACCATGTCACCGTTGTGGGCAAAAGGGTCGAAGCTGGAGTTATAGGTCTTCTTGCAAGAAGTATAATCTGCATGTGGCGTGTGTGAGGGAGATGATTGTGGAAAGTTGGCATGAGATTTATGTTGGAAGTAACAATGGAAGGAAAATGGTGGAGACTGGGATTCCTAGCCTCAAGAATACTCTGCAGAGTACTCATAATAGTAGAAGCAAAGGGAAGGTTAGGAAATGCTGTGAGATGGCTGGATTGGCTGTGCAGATTGTGGTATCAGCAGTGTTAGGAGATCCAACGGCTCTGATTGCTGGGATTATGGGGTCATTGATGTCACGGGCTTGATTTGCAAGGTTGAGAATCTCTGGTGTATAGTTGAATGAATCCTCTCACGTGACATGAGTTTTATAAGAGAGTATTTTAGTCGATGAGATATAAATAAATAAAAAATTAACTCTTAGTTTATATCTGGACGATTGATATCCTCTTACGTGATATCATGTCACATGAGATACTCAATTTCATATCATATTAGGTCATGAAGTTTTAATTTATGTGTACGTAGAAGATGTAAGTTAGTAACTATGGCTGTGTTGCTCCAAATCCTAAATATTGTTTAAAACTATGTGATGAATATGTCAATATGAGTTTTTATCTTGGATTACTTTTCCGGGAAAGTTTTGGGTTTTCATGTGTGGAAAATTCCTGCAATCTCAGTACAATTCATTAGATGGTTTAAAATTATGTAATGAATATATTGTTAATCTCATGAACTCAATTCAAAGTTTATCCATCCAACTATCTTGGTGAGCTTTTTCACTCAATTAATGCAATGTATTTTCTAAACTCTCAAATAATGTAGCTGGGAAATAACGATTCATTATGCGGAGTGATGTGAAAATGAAACAGCTAAATATGAAGTTGTTTTTTAATATATTTATGAAGTCGTATACCACTAGCTATGAAATAATTTTTTTTAATATTATTTTAGACAAAGTCATAACTTACAAATATGACTTACCAAAGTGCATGATATACCATTTTGTGTAAAATACTATTAAAAAATAAATTATTTTATGGCTAGATAAGCCGGATTACTTAAATTATCTCACCTGCAGGGTTAATTGACATGGAAAATAATTATTTATTACTGTTCTTTTCCAACTGTCTTGAGTATCATTTTGCTTTCGAGGAGGGTCCTTAGATGACTGTAGACTATAACATGATAATGCAGTGTTAGAGACCAAAGATTTTTTCCTAAGGAAGAAATTTGTAAAATGGGTGGGGGGTTTTAGATCAAGACTCTAGGAACACCAATTGATCTTATAATAAGCATATTCTTTGGAAGATAGATAACAAGCTGGGGCGTACTTTGAAGGTTGGTGCTGATGTGAGTCTAGCAGATGATGTTTTCTAACTTAAAAGAAGCAAGGAATTAATCATAAATGTGTGAAAATATTCATTAAATGCAAGAAATATTGATTATTCCTTCTCAATCATGCTCTCACTCAAGTTATATGTTAAATAGCACGAAACGCCGCAAAAAGGAGCAAAAACGGAAAAACCAGATTTCCCGCTGGCGCACGACGCGCGGAGGTTGGCGCACAGGGCGCGGTACCTGGCGCACGGGGCGCCAAATCGACGATTTGCTTCTGTTTCGGCCGCACACGGCGCACGGGAGGCGGCGTACGGCGCGCCAACCTGGCGCCCGGTGCTCGAGAGTTGGCGCACAGAGCGCGGGACTGGCGCACGGCACTCCAGAGTTGGCGCCCGGGGCGCCGTTTACAGATTCAGCTTCTGTTTCTCCCAAGTTTGGGGCGCCAGGCTTGGCGCCCCGTGCACGATATATTTTTAAGTGCGAATCAGCCAAAATAAGGCCCAATGGGAGTGCAAGTGAAAAGAGGTTTTCCCAAAACCTAATAAAAGGATCTGAAACATAAGAAGAAGGAACTTTTGGAGAATCAAGGAGAGAAAAACAACAAATAGAGCAGAGAGTCCTTGGAGCTTCTCGGAGATTCAAGGGTTCGATCGATCCAGACGGAAGATCTTCATCTTCCCTTTCTCTTCTAGGTTTTAAATGCTACTTTCTTTTATTGTTATTTTGTCAGACATGAACATGTCTGGCTAGTTTTATCATTGTGGTAAGGGTCACAACCCTTGATGTGAACCCCTTGTACCTTGGTTGAATTTTATGTTTATCTATTTTAATTGCATTTATCTTTTCTTGTTCTTCATTCTATAATTCTATTGGAACTGATCAATCTAGTAGGACTGCGAGGGTTAGGGTTTACAATAGGGATGTTGGAATTCTAATTCCTGACAAAGAATAAGATAACTGTTCATGTACGCACTAGGGATAGGCTATATGAACCGCGAACGTTAAAGATTCATTGATTTTAAGGGTTAACTCGAAAAGGGATTTCTAAGGGATTAGGATTCTAATAGAGTTGACAAGGTTAAGATCACTAGGGGATTAGGGTTTAACTAATCATATAAAAGATGATGAATTGTTCGATCAATTGAATAGGTAAATGTAAATGTAATCCAATGTAAATGTAATCCAAGTTGCAAGGTGGGGTTCAGAAAGGTGTTTGTTTCTCTTACCGCAATATTTTCTCAAATATTTTCTCAATCCTTAATCTTTTGTTCTTGCATTCTGAAAACACTTTTGGAATCATTTACATTTTTACTTTAATTATTTTAGTTTGTTTCATGAACTACAATCATTCTCAACCTATTTTGATTAATCCAACAAGAGAGGAATAGTTATAACAACTTAGGTGCATCAATCCTCGTGGAGACGATACTCTACTCACTCTTTATTACTTGGTACGATAGTTTTTGGCGCCGTTGCCGGGGATTGACTACGCCAAGTTATTTATAACTTTTGATTTTCTTGCTTGGATCTTTGTGTTACTAATCTGTTTGCTTTAGTTTATTCGTGGTACAGTCGATCCTGCAACTTTGGTTTACGATCCAGAGATAGAAAGGACTGCAAAGAGGATAAGACAACATACCAAGCAAAAGAGGCAAGCAAAGGCTTCTACTTCACATTCTGAAGCAGAAAATTCTACTCCACACTTTGAAGTAGAAACAGAGATGGCAGAAGAAAATCCACCAGCAGCTGAGCTGATGGAATCAATTTTGGCTCCTCAATTGACAAGGCCAAACTCGAGTATTGTCAAACCACCGATTGCTGCTAATAATTATGACATCCAGCCAGCACTCATCACATTGGTGGAGAAAACTCAGTTTGGTGGAGAGGACTATGAAGATCCTCACGACTTCATAGACAGATTTTTAAGGATCTGTGATACAACTAAACACAACGGAGTGTCAGACGATGCGATCAGACTCCGATTGTTCCCGTTTGCATTGACCGGGAGAGCTCTCAAATGGTTGGATCGACAAGCTCCCAACAGCATCAGAACATGGGAGGATTTGGCGGCTAAATTTTTTGCTGAGCACTTTTCCATGGAAAAGTACAATAAGTTGGTGAATGAAATCACCAATTTTACCCAACAACCAGGAGAGACTTTATGTGCAGCCTGGACTCGATACCAGGAGCTGATCAGAAAGTGTCCACAATATGACTTGCCAGATACAAAGAAGGTCAGAGTCTTCTATAATGGGATGACGCCAGAATGCAGAATGATTGTCAATGGTGCAGCTGGTGGCACCATAGGAAAGAAGACAGCAGATGAGACTTTAGAGCTGCTGGATTTAATGGCAAGGAATGAGAATGCGTCTATGGCAGCAGCATTCCCATCTATTCAGCTCAGGAAAGGAATTTTACAATTGGGGAATAATAATGCATCACTGGCTGAGCAAAAAGTGATTTCACAGCAATCGGCCAGTTTGAATGCCAAGCTGGACAAGATGCAGCTCTCAACATCCAAGGTTGATATATTTAACTGTGAGTATTGCAAGGAGCCGCATGATACTAATGAGTGCCCTACACTCAATAGAGCTGAACCATTCCAGGTCAATGGAATTTGGTATGATCCAAGGCCTCCACAGAATATTCAAGGTTACCAAAGGAATCAGAATGGCGGCCAAGGAAATAACTTTCAAAGGAAGAATCAAGGGAGCGGCTTGGATTATAAATCCAACAACTATCTGCAACCTCCTCCTCTGCCACAAAAAGAGCCATCTGAATTGGAGAAAGCGATGATACAACTTTCCAAAACCACTAATGATCACATAAATGAGACAAGAGCCTACCACAAGAACCAAGACGCTTCAATCAGAAACTTGGAAACTCAAATTGGCCAACTTTCAAGACAACTAGCTGAGAGGAGTCAAGAAAAGAGCGTTGCAGTGTCAAAGGAGCAATGCAATGTCATCACTACAAGGAATGAGGAGCTAGAAAAAGAGAAAGTTGAAGTTTCTACAAGAAAGGATGAACAAGCTCAAAAGGATGAAGAAGAAGCAAAGGAACAACCTCCTGCAGTTCAAAAGAAGCAATGGGATTTCTCACGTTTTGAGAAACTCCCATATCCAATGAGGCCAAAGCAAAATGAGCAAAGGAAGCAATTGTCTAAATTTTTAGATATTTTTAAGAAATTGCAGATTAATATTCTTTTTGCAGACACTCTGGAGCAAATGCCTTCATATGCCAAATTCTTGAAGGAAACATTATCTAAGAAGAGGAAGCTCACAGAGGATGAACCTGTCACATTAACAGAGGAGTGCAGTGTAATCCTACAGAAAAACATGCCTCCAAAGTTGAAGGATCCAGGAAGCTTCAGTATTCCATGCATCATTGGCAAGACAACTATAGAGAGAGTCTTATGTGATCTTGGTGCCAGCGTTAATGTGATGCCATTAACCCTGATGAAGAAGCTGGGAATTGATGAAGTCAAGCCAACTAGGATGAATGTTCAACTGGCCGACCGCTCAACAAAGCAAGCACATGGTATTGTGGAAGATGTGCTAGTCAAGGTAGACAAATTTCTAATTCCTGCTGATTTTGTTATCCTTGACATTGATGAAGATGCCAGTGTGCCTATGATCTTCGGGAGGCCATTCTTAGCAACCTCAGGAGCATTAATCGATGTACCTAAGGGTGAGTTGATAATGCGCGTGGATGGAGAGCAAGCAATATTCAAAGTACTTATAAATGAAGCTCCTCCATTGCCTGCTCCTCAACCTAAGAATCAAGTCAATTACATTGCGGAGAAAAAGGTTGAGGAAAGGAATAAGAAGGAAATTCATCAGTGGCATGAAGGAAGCAAGCCAAAGGTTAAGATGGAAAAGCCCAAGGGTAAGGAAAAGCATGTGAGGACTAAGTTTAAAGTTTCTGAGAACCCTCATCCTTATCCACATGCATATGAGTATAACCATGGCGGGACACAAATTCTGAGCAAGGGTATAGTGTCATCACTGAGCCCGAGTTACCAGCCACCATGATCACAAGGGGTACGTCAGGCTCGTGACGTTAAACAAGCGCTACTTGGGAGGCAACCCAATGAGTTTTTATTATTATTTTTTTTTATTTCCTTCCCCTTATCTGTCACATTAATTTTTATTTTGATGTTTTATTTTCGTTGTCTTTGTTTGACCATCTAGGTTTATGTTAGGGTAATTTGAACCTCTTTGGTATTTTGAGTTATAATTCTCCAGTACATTGGTTATGTTATTTTCTGCCTGATATTTCACATGTGTGATGTTTATACTTGTGCAGCAGTATTTTCTCCGACTACTTTAGTTATTGCTGAGGACAGCAATATTCTAAATCTGGGAATTGGGGCCGCATACACGGCAATCGAGGTATCACACACAGAAAAAGGTTCAGCGAATTCATAGCTACTTCAGGGGAGTTATTTTAACCTTTCTAGTTATTTTCTTTTTTATTTTTTCATTTTGGTAGAAATTTTGTGTTTTTAGTTTCATTTCCTGCTATGTGAAAGCACAGTCCTGATTTAGATGTGCTACTCAGTCAATTCCTTGGTTGAATATGAGGAAGCATTGCATGATATGCAAGATTGTCATGACATTGCATAGAGCATGAATAGAGATTATGATTGCTCGTTTGTTTGATTTCTATGATAATGATGCTTGAAATGAAATTAAGAAGAGTCTAGTTTGATACCACAGCTTGTGAGGTTTGTGCCTATACAGTTAATTTTTTTTTTGAGAGTCCTCACTGCAGTGGTACTCTAGAACTTGATCTAATTCTCTCCAATGCATGTGTTGATTGAAGTGATAGAGGCATTTTGTTCTTTTAAGCTTATGGCCAAATAGCTACCTGAGAAATCATCCATTGTTAGCCATGTTGAGCCTGAGACCAATTTTTTTTAATTACCTTATTAAACTGTTTAGACCACTTCCATCAGAACTTACCTTGATTGAGATTGAAATGTCAATAATCAAAAAGTTAGAAGTAATTGAGGTAAGCTCCACTAGAAGTTAAGCAGTTGAAAAGGAAAAGAAAAGAATAGTTCTCACATGAATATAAAGAGAGAAAAATAAATTGCAAAAATTGACAAGCAATGATGAAGGAAAAAGTGAGAAAAAGGAAGGAATCATGAATTCGAATAAAAAGTGGTGCTGAAACTTGAATTGAGAGATGATTGAGTATTAATGAAAATGGTGTTTCAATCTCAATAATTATTCAGCTACTTTCCAAAAGATTCTAACCTTAAGCCAAGCCAAGTTATAACCTTAAGAAGCCCTTTTGATCAATCAGGCATGTGTTGATGTTCCTCATCTTTAGGAACTTGAGAAAAAGATCAAGCTTATGGTAGAACAACAGCTGTGATGAAATGAGTGATGATGAATGACCCCAAACACTGAGTGATGAGTGAATATCATGTCTTGTGAGGGGTAATCAAGTTAGACTCTGACGTTTGAATGTAGTGTTAAGCATCATCTTAAGTTTGACTTGGAAATCATTCATGCTTAGTATAGTAATCTCTATTATTGTCTGTGCAATGCTATGCCTGATTAATTGAACCTTGCTTCCCATGCTTAAATTCAGGTGCCAATACCTTACACCAGATTACTCGGTTGGTGGCACTATCTACTGAAAGGATGGAAAATCTAACACATGGAAAACTTAATTTCTGCTCTATCATTCCAAAATTCCATATGCATATGTACGTCAAATGAAACTAAATTACAAACTCAGCTCTTCGGCATTTGGGTAGTGGCAATTTAAACCTGATAAGTAAACAAAAATGACACCATAAAATTTGTGGTAGTTTTTCATTACCCTACAAATACTCTGCTACCTAGGAAGAGGCTGGGGTGGAAACTTTATTATTATTACTATTATGGTATCCTACAAACATTATTGTAACACTAAACCCTCAGCCATGGATGCAGACCAAATGACCTTCCTAACAATTGCCTTATCCAAGGTTTGAACTTTGCTCTTCTCTCTGAAAGTGTAGCTAACTTTCCACCACCTCCACTCTCATTAGCAGGATAGGGTGGGACTTTTGACACAGGCATGGGGATGATGTATTTTATTTTTAAGGGATAGGATATTGTGACACACAAATAATGTTACGCACAATGTTACGACCACATCTTAACTGTTGATTTCCGTCAATCAACGATTATCACTTATTGCGAATTAATAATTAATTAATGAGTTTGATTTGAAAAATGATAACCGTTGATTGACGGAAATCAACGGTTAAGATGTGGTCGTAACATTGTGCGTAACATTATTTGTGTGTCACAATATCCTATCTCTATTTTTAAAAGCATTTTTGTAATTTTTTTTTTTTTTTTAAAAAAAAGCCCATCCAAACACACCATACAAGGAGGCTTCTTGATACATTCATTAGACCTGAATGTCTGATGACATATATACAAAACTTAGTTGAAAGTTGAAACAGATTTCTTTGATGAAATATAAATCTTATTGATAGTGCTTCTTTAAATCCTGTAAAATAACACGTGCAGCATTTCTTCCAGGTGCCCCCATGACACCACCTCCAGGATGAGATCCACTTCCACATAGATACAAGTCCCTGATTGGTGTCTTGTGATTTGACCTATTCCACAAAAAGCATTTTTCTTGATGCCATTATGGGATTTTCTGTAATACTTTTTTTTTTTAATACATTTTCTGTAATACTTTATGTACAAACTTACCAGCCTTTCACAGGTCGCATTAAGAAGAGCGAATCCAAACCCATAGCACCATGGAAAATATTTCCTCCTATACACATTCGTTGATTTTCAATTCAGAAGAGCGTTTACATGTTATGAAGTGGTTTTTATATTAGACAGTGGAGAAGTTTAGTAAAATGTTTTGCAATATATGTGTGTGTGAGAGAGAGAGAGAGAGAGCGTTATTAGGATTGAATTAGATAAAAATAGATTCATTTAATGCAAGTCTAAATGTCTTAAAAGAGCAATAACATAAGTAACCACAAGTTGATAGTGTTATTAGGATTGAATTAGATAAGTACTTTTTTTGTCCGGTACAAGTTTCAATGCCTCTGTATATTGAGAAATGTTTGTGTTGTATTGTTGGGTACGCACATACTTTCCTCTATTTTGGTAAACTAGACTGAAATGTTCATGTTATATTTGTTGGTCACCTTGCCTGTTTATTTACCTCAAGCATCAGAGTTACTACTTCTAAAAGTAAAAGGTTGGAAATACGATAATATTGGGTAGAAAGATGGCTTATATTTTGAACTATGGTAAAAAAGTCAAAATGTTGGGCAAAATTTATTATTTTTAAGTAGCTCTTAAGAGTTTACCAGTCAAGTTTACAGAGGCTTGATGAATTTACCTAATCTCTCGAGTTTTGACAACCTTGATCTCAATATTAATCTATTACTGTAAAGATTAAATTTACAGATTACCTGTCAGTCCAATTTCCCTTTCCAGATCTGGTGGTGTAAGCATGTCATAACCTATGACAGATGAGCCAAAGCCAGGCGCATATTCATCGATCAAGTTAAAACATCTTTGTGCATATGATTCCTACAGTTGACAATTATAATAAATTGCTGAAGCTCTTTTCAAATTTTAAACAATGAGTCATGCACCCAAGAATGCAAAAGAAAATTCAATAGAGGTTAAAAGAGGATCAATAACAGGTTTATTATATCCAAAAAAAAAGATCAGTCAAGTACACTACAACTGCATTGTTGCCCAGAAAATAACAGTTGTTCAACAAAGTACATAAGACCAATTATGCAAGTATAACTTACTCTGTATTCAACATTATCCCAGCTACCATTTGAGGGTCTATAAGGTGTATATTGCGTAAAAAAGTTGATGACATGCTTACCTACAAGATAGCACACAAGTTGACTGCTACACTATTTTAATGATACATAAATATGAAGCCTACCTGAAATGAAAAACATATCAGGCCTCAATAACACAAGCGACAAAATATTTGACTACTTCTAAATAGCTATGTTTCGTTCCTATTATGTTGCTCCAACCCATGCATTAACAAGAGTCTGTCTCCATGAACAAGAATATCTGCATGATTGTTTCTTCTCTTTTTAACGATTTGAACATGCAGAAGTTTTAAGTAGAAGAACCAGAGTCCTTATCTTCTGTTTCTCTAATTCTCTTTCATGAGATTTCCATTTGTAAAATTATAAAATATGAGAACTGAAACTAAAAGAACTTTGTCAATAAATTGTAACCCAAGTTAAAGCTATTTAATATTTCAATTTTATTACAACAAAATCAAATGACTCTATTTGCTCTGTCTGAATATATGAAAGATGGCTGAAGATTATGTCATACCAGGTGGTGATATGGTATTGTCCAACGAAGAAGGAATTGTCATCTCCATCACAGGCCTTCGCGATGGTAAGCCATTACTAGCATCTTGACAAGCTGATCTAATCTCCTCCATGCTGGCATAGAAAAAAATAGAAAAGAAAATACAAAAACCAATTAACAATCGATTACCAAATATCATGTAAGTAAACTTCTAAGTTTCCATTAATTGACATGAATAAATACAAGAAATCCAGCACAACTATAGCAGCAGATCTGTTAAAGTTTGGAATGTCAAAACCAATATGAGAATGAGAAAAAATTGTTGGATCGATTTCTATACTAGGAGCAAAACCAGTAAATAACTCACTGATAAAGGAGCTGAAACTCTATTTCTTTTTATCTCTTTCACAGGCTTCTTTTTTTCATTACAGATACATGACACTATATATAACAACAACTAAATGACACAACACATAATGACTACTTCTTAGAAACTCTTAACTCATTAATGTCCACTAACACAAACCTAAGGACATGACTCTTCACCAGAAAACTCTTCACATTTCTATTTTCTATTTTCTATTTTTTATCTCATTAAAATTTAACCCAACAAAACTCCCCCTTAAATTTTAATTCTTCTTTTTTTAAATTTCCCACCAATTGATTTTTTCGCTGCTTCCATGTTAATGACTACTTCTTAGAAACTCTTAACTCATTAATGTCCACTAACACAAACCTAAGGACATGACTCTTCACCAGAAAACTCTTCACATTTCTATTTTCTATTTTCTATTTTTTATCTCATTAAAATTTAACCCAACAAAACTCCCCCTTAAATTTTAATTCTTCTTTTTTTAAATTTCCCACCGATTGATTTTTTCGCTGCTTCCATGTTGCACCCCTTTCTTCAAAAAAAAAAATTTTGTCCGGCGGTTCCTTCATTGGTGGAAGATAGACAGTCTTGAAATTTTCTCTGTCGACCTCATCCTCCAATATACTTCCACTTCCATTCTTACACGTATGATCATTACACAAGTCATCATACTGATCAGTATCTGTATCACTATAACGTCCCGTTAGTTTTACAACACCTATGCCAATTTTAATACTTTCAGATTCAACATGTGCTACATTAATAGCACGTTGGGCCTCATCAACCACAGTAACCCCATCACTCATTGAAGACCGTTGATTCCCATCATCACGCAAATAACTCAACGCATCATTTTCTGATTCCGCCCCACGATCTTCTTCTGGTTTACGCTTGAGCCAAAATGATTCCGCCATAAAAGTAACTCTAGGCTCCTCATCGCCGGGTTCCCTATCCACAATCACACCTTCCATTTTTCCGCTCTCAGTTTCTTCATCGTCGGGTTCTTCTTCATCGCCGGGTTCTTCTTCAACAAGTCTAGCTCCCACGCGCCTCATCGATAGAATCTCAGACAACCGTCCTCCAGGGAAATGGTCTCTTTTCGGTGGTGTCGACATCTTCCACTTCCACCATGAATTCAATGCAGTCTCCGACTTCTGACTTCCAACCCGAACCGCGCCTATGCCGGTCTCCGACATCAACCTCATCACGCCGGGGTCGAGCTCTTCTCCAAAATATGAACTCGGTGATTTAGCCAGGATCTCCCCCATCCCAGTTATCAACACGGAACTCGGATTCGCAGTCTCCTCCATGCCGGTCTCCATCAAGCACCTCGGCTTCTCAATCTCCTTTACGATTTTTGACTCTGTCTCCAGACACTCAGGTTCCGCGAAGTCTTCTACCTCGACTATGGACTCGTCGTTCCCGTCCTTCTCCGCTTTGATCTCGGCTCCTTCGTTCTCCTCCTCTTCTATCTCGACTCCCTTGTTATCCTCCTCTTCTATCTCGGCTCCCTTGTTCTCAGTCATCTCCATCGTCTTCTTCTCCGAGTCATCTCTTACGCGCTCCGACACGTCAATCTCCTCCGCGGATGCGTTGCCGTTGGCAACCTCGGATTCCGCCATCTCGGTCTCTTCTTCATCCGCATCATTCTCCTCATCTTCATCATCATCATTGAAGATTTCATCTTCTTCATTAATCAGATCAAAACGTCCAGGCAAGTATTTTGTTATGAAGGTCGTTAGAAAATCCTTCCACATATTATTAAAGTCGCGGAGTTCCATGTACGGAACCATTTGATTGCGCTTCCTCTGAGTCTTCTCATGGCTACCTGCCATTTGTCCTCCGTCCAGTTTTTTTCTTTCCGAAAATGTTCCTTCAAACAGAGAAGCCAATCCAATGCTTCATCCTTATCTCCATGGAAGAGTGGCACCTCCAACTCGCTCTTTTTCTCCATAGCTCTGATACCAATTTGTTGGATCGATTTCTATACTAGGAGCAAAACCAGTAAATAACTCACTGATAAAGGAGCTGAAACTCTATTTCTTATTATCTCTTTCACAGGCTTCTTTTTTTCATTACAGATACATGACACTATATATAACAATAACTAAATGACACAACACATAATGACTACTTCTTAGAAACTCTAAACTCATTAATGTCCACTAACACAAACCTAAGGACATGACTCTTCACCAGAAAACTCTTCACATTTCTATTTTCTATTTTTTATCTCATTAAAATTTAACCCAACAAAAATAAGTTCTATATGCTAGCGTACCTTTCAAAACCAATATGGATGGTAGCTGTATGCTGAGGACCCACTTCTGCATGATTTAACTTGAAACAGTGGAACTGGGGCAGCTTATCAACAGCTACATTGATTTTCGTTGTTCCCTGCTCCAATTGATGAACGAATCAAAACCATAAAATATGAGACTAGTTTAAGCAAAACGGAGAAGTTCCATTCCAGAAGCATTCAGCCTGCTTTTGACTTGCAAATTTATATTAAACCAAAGCATAATAAAAATGCCACGTGAAGTGCTACCAGAACAATCATCCGAGGTTCAAAGAACTTATTCTTCAATGATATTTTTTTCTTTTTCATCCTTCAACACAAATTACTTCAATAAAAAAATTTGTCTGTATGACATACCCAAATGTAATCCCAAATAATAAAAGTAACATTGCATGACTCCAGTTTCTACATTCAATCATGAGATAATTTATGGTACCAGTTTCTACATTCAATAAACAAGTAAAAGAAATAATGTTCAATAGAAAGTATCTTACAGAGCTGTAGTCGGAATACTTAATTGCACGAAGAAATTCAACAGGAAGAAAATCTCGAGGTACCAGTTGCTGCCAAACAATCACAACAGCATACTGAGACAGCTGAGAAACTGACATAAATCCAGCATTGACCCATTTTCCGTTACTTGATATTCAACTATTACTCTGTATAATTGATTCTTGCCTGGCATGACATGAATTAATAATTTCAGACTGCTTACTGTAAAGGTCTTGTAAGGAGTTGCATTTGACAAAACAACTGAAGAGTGCACTTTAGTCCCATCAGCCAGCAATACCTAGATTATCAGCAAAGTATAATCATCGATCAGAATCTTATAATAGATGCTTTGATATCTATTGAGCAAAAGCAGGAAGCAAGCCAACCCACTCCATTTGCCCTGCCAGTGTCTTCCACAATCACCTGTAAAACCTGGTTCAGTTGCTAATGATTAGAAACTGGAACAAAAATGGGATAAAAATAACAGTAATGGAGAAAAAATTTAGCTCTTACCTTTTTCTTCAATTAAGTTAGTTTGAACTATATATTAATAAATCAAATAAATGAAAACTCAATAATATACTCTCATGTAGAAAAACTAAATATGACAAACCAAAATTATAGTTTTATATCTGAAAAATCTTACAACCACATATGGGGAAGAAGAGGGCTCATGGGAAACAAACCTCTGCATTTGTTTCAATACGAACCCCAGCTTCCTTAGCAGCTTTACTTATAGTGAGGGATACAGCACCCATCCCGCCTTCAACATGCCTGCATATGAATGCTTCCATCTATGAATTGGAATTGACAAATGATTTCTTGACAAACGATTAAGACTAATATACTGGCAAGCATAATGCAGGAACCTCATGCACTAGACCACAAGAAAGCCTAGAAAAGATATCAGTCTTCATGTGCAACAGAACACTACACCTTCTAAACTCTAAAGACTGAAGACAAAACAAAACAATGGAAACCAATTGAAATATCTAATTCAAAAAATTTAGAATTTTACATATTAGGATCTTTTTCCAAAAGAACCAGCCTGGATAAACAAGAATTAGTGATAATTTTTCATTAATAATAGGGTCAAGCAAGACGATGCATTAATTTTATTTTTTATTTATTTTTTTACTGACAGTATCAGTTTAAATTTATTATATTTAGAACTGATATTCATTATTTCAAAACATTGCATTCTCATTTCGTCATGCATTTAGCACATATACATATTCAGGCTTGGTAGTTGGTATCAATATTTGTTCTTTCAGGTGCATTTGTTGTTACACACCTGGTGATAATCCATTTTTTGGTGGTAGAATTTCAACGCCAGGTCTTTGCCTATATTAATGTTTCAAACATTGCCAAATCAATTAACCTAAACAAAGTAAATACTCACGACCAAATATTACGATCACCATCTGTTTCACCCATCACATGGTGTAGCAGAACATATCCACTTCCAGGAGTGTTGATGTTCATCTATTTAAAAGGAAAAGTTTAGCAGCACAGGCTTATAAGTACTGGACAAAAGAATAAAGAAACTAATTTACTAAAATGCAGCATGTTATATTGAAGATCCGCAAATAATGGAGAGAAAATGCATGTAAAAAGAATGCAGATTCTTAAATAATTCTTGATTATTTCAAAACAAGTCTGACAATATTTCATCCGATAAAATAAACTATTATTTATTCATTATGTAAAACAATGAAAGAGAGTCTGAAATTAACTCTTTGTTAACATATTGGATCTGAAATAACTTTTTGGATAAAGACAAAATTATATTAAAAGAATCGGGATACAATGAACTATGAAAGAGGAGGAAAAAATATCATTCTTAAAAATTCATGACAAGGACTGTCTAAATTTGTTTGTAGAACAAAGATGCTAACTAAATTATGCTAAACCCTATAAAAAAAGAAAACTCTCACCATACTCCCAATGATAGCATCTCCTGCAAGTGTTGCCTTCAATAAATTTGACTGCATTCCCAGATCAACAATAAATATTAGAAAGATTGAGGGCCAAAGTCTTTTTTCAAGTAAAAAACACTTAACATTTATTCATGAGTCAGTGCCAAGGCGATAGTCATGTAATATAATAAGTTATTGAATAATAATATTTTAACAAAATTAGGTGTTAAGAACCATTTTAACCCAAAAGCTTAAGCTAGGGTGAGGTTATATTAATTGTTTTATATTTCTCTAACATGTCCACACACACGAGAGCTCATTGGTCTTGAAGGGTAGATGATGCATTAAGCCCAATCTATTTGTGCTAAGAAACTCCATAATATTTAATTATTTTTATTAATAGAATGTGGCGGTTTGAGAATCGAACTCATGACTACTTAGTCATGTCGGCTCTGATACCACGTTAAGAACTATTTCAACCCAAAAGTTTAAGCTGCTAGGGAGGTTATATTAATGGTTTTGTATTTATCTAACACTGGGGAATATAGCTTCAAACAAAAACCCTTGAAGCCTAGACGGTATTGGATGATCAGGACGGTATATTTTGTTTTCAACAATAGCGACAAATTGTATGGAACTGTTAATGTGTCATATATTCCTCTAAATAAATTTTGTGTTCGGTTACAACTCCTCTAAAATACCATATTTTATATGGCAACATATTTGCACTTAGGCATGATGCATGTGAATGAGAAACACAACAGCTTATTAATTTCCTTACATGGTAAATACTTCCAAGACACCCAAAGAAATGAATGTAACAAACAAACGTATTGATCTTAGTAATAAGCAAATGTAAAAAGAACCCTCCAGGATCATTTTGCTCAAAATAAGTAACAAATTTTGTGCTTTGACTAACTCGGGTAAGTTCGAGAAAAAAATAAGTGCAATAACCCATTCAACATCATAAACAGATTGAAATGACTAAACACCAAATCTATTTTACAATAATTAAGCAAATGACAACCTCAAACCATTTATCCAGGACCTTCGAAGTTGGAGACAGTAATAATTCCATTAAGTCCCTGGACAAGTATTATACTCAAAATTAGATATTTAAGTCGAGATCTATCTTCTTGAAGATGGGATTGATGTTCCAAGAACTTTTAAAGCTGAATTAAATCTTACACAATGCCTTTTTGCCCCAATGAAAGAGTGTGCCGCAGAAACTGACCCCAAAACTTATATTTCTCCAACTTAGAGCTCAGCCACTCAACTTTAGATGCACTCTCGTGCAAAGTTTCAGGGGTAGGTGAATCCAAAACAAAATCCATGATTTTACAAAATTTTCGGAGTTGAGCTTCATACCTACAAACACGAGAAAAACAAAATTGTTCACATAAATTAGAACACATAAAATTGAAACATCATTATAACTGTTTGGTTACAATAATGGATTTCAAAACCTTGACACGGAGAATCAAATGCCTTACATGGTCAAAAAATAAGAATTTGACACTCTTTTACATATTTTTTAACTATAAACTGTTTAAACTTTAAGGGAATTTTGGTAGAAGATTTTATTTAGGATTCTAGCAAACTGAGGGTGGTAATCTTATTTACCTACGTTTGGAGATTTTTAAAATTTTACGGAGAATCTGATTTTCCCGAGATTTCATTGTGTCAAATTTTCTGAATATCATCCAAGAATACCACCCAAAATTAATAAGGGAAAATTTAACACTACCAAACATAGCATTAAGAAAATTAACTCAATATTTCCAGTAATATTTTAGCCTATCAAACAACTTTTTGATAATATTTACGGAAAACTCATTTTCCCACCATATTTATGGAAATCATGATTCCCAAGTAAAATAAAAATTTTCCTCCAGCAAACGCCCTAGCTCAATATTGTAGACATTGGTATCAACTTCCAAAGCATTAGCACATTCAGAATCCGTCAAATAAATAAATAAATCTTTATATAGTTTCATGCAAATTTTTTTTTTTTTAAAAAAAATATTGTACCAAAATTTATAAATTTGACTGAGAGAATAGGTAAAAACAGAAAAAATAAAAATAAAATAAAAAATAAAACTAAAACTAAAACAAAAGCAAAAGCCAAAAAAAATTGCATTATGCATAGAGTACCTGAAATATGCATCAGCATCTCTTTTTGAAAACTTTGAAATCTCGAGATGATCCTGTTCATCACTCTGCCCCAACAGAATGTAACGCCCATCCAGAGAGGGCGTAGACGACGACGCCATCGGCTTCAACAACTTCAACCCGTGTCGTTTCAACTCCAACTCTCTTTAAAATTCCCAATCAGTTAAAAACAAAAAGAAAGAAACATTTTCAATCCTCAAATTTCAAAGCAAAAAAATGAAGATGGGAAGGGTGCGTGTGTGTGTGTGTATATACCTAATGATTTGAGGACGGAGGAGGCTGAGGAGGTAGCTGCAGCGAGAGAACCGGAAGCCGGGGATCAGCTCCTCCGTGACGGCGGCTCCGCCTACGAGGTGGCGGCGCTCGAGGACGGAGACGGAGAGGCCGGCGCGAGCCAGGTAAGCGGCGGCGATCAAGCCGTTATGGCCACCGCCGACGACGACGGCGTCCCATTTCTTTTTGTGCTTGAAAGCGACGGCGGTGCTTAAGCTTCTTCGCCACATCACTCACTCACTCCTCAGTGACACTGACAAAGCTACTCAGTTAATTAATATTTTTGGGTGTTTTTTTAATTTTAAATGTTTTAATTTAACAGTGTACGCCATCGGTCCCATGGTCTAGTGGTCAGGACATTGGACTCTGAATCCAGTAACCCGAGTTCAAATCTCGGTGGGACCTTTAATTTATTTCATTTTTTTTCGAAATTTTTTCATGAGTTATAATATAGGAACATATTAATACCAAAAAAAAAAAAAAAAATCCATCATCCTGAGTGGAAAGAAAAGGCATCCCCTCGTGGTTTTTTTTTTTTTTTGTTTTTTTTTTAAGGTTTAAATATCTTTATTTTTGGCCACAAATAACAATATATTTATATAATTCTAATTATCTCACATTAGAAATATTTGATTCACTAGTTTAATTTAATCAATAAATTAATGGTTAAACTAGTTGAATCGAAAAAATATTTAAAATAAAAATATAAAAATAAGGATTGAATTAGCAAGTTATATTTATGTGTTATATTTATGCATCCATTCCCCTGTTAATTAAATATCTATTTAGTAAATAATAATATTCTTATTTATAGAACTGACATTTTCTCATTGCTCTAGTTAACGGAATATTTATTTAAAATTTAATATTTTTCATGTTATAGAAGATAATTTATAAAATTATTTTCTACATAAACATAAAAGTATGTGAGGGCCTGAGGTAAGGGTGTAAATGGGCTGGGCTAGGCTTTGACTTAAATAGGTCAGGCTTGTGTAAAAAATATTGGGTATGATCTGACCTATTAGCCTATTTAGGCCCCAAATTACAAGTTTGACTTGACCTATATTTAAAAAATAAAAGCCTTGGCTTAGGCCTTTTAGCCTATTTAAGCCTATTAAACATTCAACAATCAAAACAATAATTAAAATAATATTATTTTATTATTCAAGATTATTAAAATAATAATTTTATTTATTATATTTTAAATAAATAATATGATATAGGTCGGCCTGTAAGCTTATAGGCCCGACATGTACAAAAAAGCCTATTGCCTATTTTCTAAATAGATTTTTTTAAAAGTCTAGGCATGTTCTATTTTACAATTTATAGTAGGTCAAGTCTGGCCTAATATAGGCTAAGACATAGGCCCCTGTAGGCCGGTCTAGCCCATTTTCACCCCTGGGCTGAGGCCATATAAAGATAAGAGGGAAAGAAAGAAAATATAAGTCCCACACACTTTTATATATGTGTAGAAAATAAATTATCTCCTACTGAGAAACACTAAACCATTTATTTATTAAATGTGTATAAATTGAACTAATTTAATTTTTTTATAAATCTTAAATGAATTAATGTTTTTTCTCTAACCATTTTAAAAGAGAATGATTAATTATCTGGTTAATATTTTTCAATATACACTCTATTCACTGTATATAGTTTTATATATGTAGTAGTATATTACCCGTGCGATTCACAAGGAAAAAAGATCAAAAAATTTGTTGGTCGTCGTAGTTGGTTAATCGCAATACGAACCTTATACTTACAAAAAACTGTGTTGCTATTTTGTTCAATTTTTCAGGTGGAAAAAACTACAACATTGACACATAACTTTGCAAATATCAACCACAAACAAAAATATGCTATTCAGAGTGATCAATTATTATGCAAATTAAATATAGTTATCTACTTAATGAGTTATGTCAAAAATAAACACACCATAGTAGACTATGTTAACATGAGGATAGCTAAAAAAAGAAAAATGCATATAACTCATTGCTAACTACAACGGCCACCAATAAAATCAAGGTAACAATGAGACCAAGCAAATATGAAATTAAAAGATCAGCAAAACGCTACTAATTCAGTGCCATTCCTCAATATAATATCGAATTCAGCTCATTTAGCTTTCATACAGAAACTTTCTCAACATAAACTAAAGGGTAAGGAATGTTTGCTTTCAAAATTGCTTTTTCCAATTTCATTTATATTTAGATCAAGCTTTTCAACTTCCAAAAAATAAGAATGTGTTGCTATTGCTCTAGTAATCAAGCCCGTGAATGTGTAGGTCTCAAAGAAAATACTAAGGGGTTGTTTGGTAGGAGTTTTTCTCCTAATTACCCATGCAAATGAGATTGGGTTTTCAACTTTACCATGTTTGGTATAAGTGTCCCAAAAATTCAACCAGGCGAATTGTTTACTCAGCCATTCTAATTTGTGTGGAAATTGTCATCCATTTCACTCTGCAATTTGTCCCAAAAATACTAAGGATGAATTATGTTACATTTTGTTTTGATAATGTATTGAGTTTCCAATGCATGTAATTGATAAGATTAAGAAGTGAAATGACTTGAAAATTGTTGAAAGATATCTTGGTTCCCTTTAGGGATGTCCACGGCCTTATGAAGAAAAATGGCATGAATTATGTTTAAAATTTTCAAGCGGATACCTAGTTAATTTAGGAGCCAAGTAAGGGTTATAGGAACTATTGGTTTTGTCAATTGAATTGATGCAAATTCCTAGCCATTCCTAACCTTGGTTTCGGCCATTTAGGGCCTTTGGGGCTAGGGAGTGATTAATGTTGTAAAATGGTCTAATAAGAGAATTTATGAAAGTCTGGTCTGGACTTGTGTATTGGCATAGAATTGGCAAAAATGTAAAGAAACAAAAGTAAGCGATAAAATGTATGCCTTATGTAAAATCTCGGCATGGTATCATTTTATTGATTTTGTTTTGGATTCTTTCTCTAGGTGTGCCTAGGGACCGAAAAGGGTTTGGATCCTGTTGAAGCTATATAAGTAACTTGTGCTACAAGTAAGCGGATTGGTAAAGCTTCAAGAGGTAAGCTCTATGTTTAAGGAGTCTTTTCCTACTTAAGTGCTCCACCATGGTTAGTGAACTAACGATGTATTGTACACTGATGTCCGCTTGGGGTCCTCCCTCGGGACTAATGATGTACGCCTCTGATATGTCTGGTTCCGCTTGGGGTCCTCCCTTGGGAACACGTGCGTTGATTTTCGCTTGGGGTCCTCTCTTGGGAATGACTGCGTACGCCTCTGATAAGATATGTATATATGCTTTGTTTAGTGATGATATCTGTTATATGTTGCTTTGTATACTCTGTATATGACTCTCATGCAGGAGTGAGCCAGGGGTGTGGAGAATTCTCTATAAACCTGGAGCTTATTGAGATTTTTTATCTCACCCCTTTTTGGGGATATCATTTCAGGTTCTCAGATTCCCGGTAAGCTCTCACGAGGCAGGGACACGACTCGTGGTTAGAGGTGCTACGACGGACCAGATTTTGGAGTAGCTGTAGGCTACTGTATTTTGGAGTACATTCTGGTTATTTAGTATTCCATTCTTTTGGTGGATCATGATGTCTGATCTGATACTTGTATATGGCTTGTATATGTTTTGTACATATTTCCGTTTAGATGCATGTACAATTGTGTATTCAAGCATGTTTATATTATGATGCAATATTCAGTTATATGTTTACCTGTTGGATTGCATGCTGTTAGAAATAGTGGCACAGAGTCAGGTTATGCATGCGCCCATGGATGGGTATAATGTCCTATATGGATATCTAGTATTTCTGAAATCATATATGATATAAACTATTTATCAGGAACCCTTGAGAGTGGGATTGACAAATTCTCAGTTGTCCAAATTACAGAGGTTACTCTGCCCGATTTTCGTCTTCGTCAAATAAAAATTAAATTAGGAGAAGTATGCAATGTGAGATATCATGTGAAAAAGGATTACAGAAAAAGAAAAAGTTAGCTCGTATTTTCGTAAGTTAAGTATTCCGTTGTTTCTGTTTGTATCATTGAACCGACTCGAGACGGGGATGTTACACTCAGCGTTGAAAATATAAATATAATTTTCACCACTTATATTATATGACTATTTAATAAGAAAAGTACTTATAAAATGTCACAACAAACCTCTCCAACACTAAACATATATACCATGGTTATTGGTTGTTATCGACTAGCCATTAGGCCCAATAATTTGGGCCAGCCACTAAGGCCATATTCAGAAGGTTAAACACTTGCACGGTTGCACCTTGGGAGAAATGCTCCCTCATCATGCCAGATCCCCCACTCTTATACACATAAATGAAGGTGCACTGCTTCACACCAGAATAAGGCCCACATGGAAAAATACATAGATGTAATCATGACTAACACCTGAAAATCTTCTTCCCTATAAATACTCATTTCACCATTGAAGAGGCTTCTTCCACACACTACTCCATTGTTGTCACTTTGCTGAATTTTAGCCTCAGTGCCACCGTTCCCTTCACCTCCCCCTGATTCTCAATGTTTGCCTGACACATACATAGTGATTCCACTGTTGAGCTTTATTCTATATTATTGCATCCCTAGGTTATTGTTACAATGGCATATTACACCCTTAGAATGATACAGATCTAACCCCTAACACCCAAACAGACCAATGGTCATTGTCATATATAGGATCAACGATGATAAAACTAATGACAATTAAGGGTTTGCAAAAGAACCAAAAGAATTGAATTGTATTGTGAATGGAACTACATTGCACTTAAAAGAACTTGTTTTGTAACAATTCATGAGCTGAACTAGTTTTTCAAAATAATTCATGAACTGAACTGGTTTATTTTAAGTTCAGTTAATGAATCAAACTGAATATTTTATTCTGCTCATTTTTTTGTATCGTACACAATATTTCAGTTATCATTTGAATCATTGTGCAAAGCCTTTATAGAAGTTGTAAAATTGATAAACTGAGGATATTTTGACATGTTATTGTATGTATCTAATCCAATTTATTGAACTACAATTCTTCAGTCTATTTGTATTATTCATATATGGTTGTCGTGCCAAAAACAAAAGCAAAATACAAATGGTCATTCTTCCAAAAATATTCCTAGGAGAGTTTCATGTATTATTTAAGGGTAAAGTGTGTGTCATTTTAAAGGATGTAAAGTTGTGTCATTTTAAGAGAGAGAAAGAGATAGATAAAGGAAGAGAGAGAGTTGACAAAAAAAATAAGTATGGGTCCCACCTCTTTGTGAGAGTGAAAGGATATAAGTTGTGTCATTTAAAAGGATAAACATTTTTCTCATTATTTAAAGATCTATTACTTGGAACAACACTTCAAAAAGTTGGAAATGTGACAACTTAAATATTCTTTATTAAAGAGGCAAATAACATGAATCATTGTTTGCTCGAACTGATAGGTCATAGATTGGTTGGTGGGATATTCAAAACCAGTTCTAACTGATTTAAAACAAAACAAGTTCCAAACTTGTTCAAAAAAATAAATCAGTTCGATTTCCCAAATTGAATTATATTTTCCACTTCGGTTTGGGAAAAAAAAAAACCGAACTGATAGTAAATGAAAATTGGCGAAAAATAACAAGTGGAAATAAGTTATAAAAAAAATGCCTAAGAAATAAAATAACAAAATTTAAATAACATATGCCATTTCAAACTAAGCCTTGGTTCTACTAGAAAGTCCTTCAAAATAAAGAAATTTGAAAAGAAAGGAATATATATTTTTTCTTTTCTTTTGTTATTTATATTTATATTTATCTTTATTCAATTGCTTTTTACTATATATTTGGATCTCAAAAAGAAAATAATCAAAATTAATTGTAATGAAATTGATATTTTGAATTTCTAAAAATAAGGCGAACTTTTTTTTTTTTCTTTTTTGGAGTTAAAAAAATCTTAATTACCTATTTGAGGCTAGAGTTCCAAAGGTGACATGTGGGGATCGAACCAAAACCTTTTTTTTCTTCTATTTACTCAATTTCCTTGCTACCAACTGAACTATCAGCATTTGGTTAAGCCAAACTTTTTTAATTTGGGTAAGTTCTATGAGAAAAGAAATGGAAAAGTGATATTAGGGGGGGGGGGGATAGTAAATGTAAAAATGAGACTCTAATTCTGTTTTCAAAAATAATTTTCCAACTTTTAGAATAAAAAAACAAAAAAAAAACCATTTGATAATATTTGTTTTGTAATAAAATTCTAAAAATTATAACTATTTTTTAATTTTTAGAATCAAATTCAGAGAATATATTTTAATTGTTTCTGTTTTATATTTTAACTTTTGATTTTTAAAAAAAACACATAAAATACTTATTTTATTAACTATTTTATAAACAGTTTTACGAAGAAGAAAAAAATAACAGGCCCATATTTCTAATAAATCATCTTTTTTGTCTTCAAATTTGAGTTTTTTCTTTAATTAATTTTATTTCTTCAAGTTCCTTATTTCTTGTTGTTAATCATACTCTGGTTTTATCGTTCACGTTTTGAAATATATTTCGTATATACTTGAATATTTTCCTTTGTATCTTCTTGATCTAAATAATTCTTGTAGTTACAACCAATTGAACCAGTAATCTATTATCACGTGAACCATGATGGCAGGAGATTAATACAATAGCTATGATATTGCTAATGCAGCCAAGCCTAACGGCCTTTGAAATGACCAGTTGGGCACCAAGCTTTGCTAAATGCCTATTATATGTACCAATTGTAACTACTAACATCCATTTCTTTCTTTTTTTCTAGAATTATATGGAGAAAGACGGCTATTTTACCCTTACAATATAAAATCGAAGATATATTACCGATTTAATATTTTTGGTAAATTATTTATCAATTTAATGCAAGTAAAACGCATATAAGAAGTGAGCGCGTTTAAATTGCGCATTATCCCATACATGACTTGTGCAAAAACTAAAATGCATCTGCCACGTGTCGTGCTTCGCAAGAAGCGGATGTGATGCGTGCGCGACTTGAACAATGCCTGTCTCGCATAATGCTGGATTTTGCACAAGTCGCATATGAAGGTGATGCGCGACTTAAATGTACACACTTCTATGAGCATTTCACTCGTATTAGATTAGTAAATAGTTTGCCAAAAAAAATTAAACATGTAAAGTATTTGTGTTTTTTCATCATAAGGGTCAAAAGTAAGGAGAAAGACCGAAAGAGCATTAATCACTTTCTTTCCTTAGGGAGAAACCAACTCACTGTTGTACTGTGATTGTTTAGCATGAGCATCAGTCCTTAGCTTCAAATTAAAATGTGTACAATATGATTTTCAACAGAGGGGAGGACAGGCTCTTGCGACCCTTAACTTAAACACATCATTTAAAATCTATCATTATATTCGAATGGAAATTTTATTTGATCTGTTGGGACAGACTAGAATGCTGGCATAATCACATAGAATCTAGCTTTTCTTGGCTAACTTTTTTACTGTTGAAGCCATGTATTTGCCCTGATACTCTGCAAGGGCCAGCTCAGTTTCACTTGCTTGTCTTGTGCCATCACCAGCATAAACTCCAGCACCATATGGAGATCCTCCTCTAATGGAATCCATGTCAAACATTCCAGCACCAAAGGTATAACCAATAGGAACATAAAGCATCCCATGATGGACTAACTGTGTGATTGCTGTCCAACTACAATAATTGTTGTGTAAGGCAGGTCAATTGCAATGGCGGAACCAGAAATTAATTTTTGTGCGAGGGGGCGAAGAATTTAAAATTCACACTAACTTAGGTAGGACAACACACTATTGGATCGATACGTAGCCAAATTTGAAGAACTATCCAAATTTTCTTCGTACATGAGGAATAATAAGCATGAACGAAGCAAACTTAAGTTACACTATTTTTCTTTTAAGTCTAAATGTAGTTTAAGACAAAAGTTTGATGAATTTGGTGGGAAGATTGTCCCTCCCCGACTACAATTGAAGGTTTAGATGAACTATTTTAATTCGTAAATGAAATTAGTACCTTTTCAAACGAGTGTAATGCAACTTCACATATTGACAATAGTTTATTCTAACTAACTAATCCTACACATCATCCAAGCTCCTCAATCAAAATATTAAGTTATACAAATGAACTTAAGAATCCATTTTCTAGAGTAAATTTTCAACTTGGTGCCTGAAAGATGCTACTTGTATTGCTTTGGTCTCCAAAAGCTTTCATCTATACAAATTTGTCCCAAAATTTTAAGGAACAAAGCAACACAAATAATACCTTTTGGGGACCAATATTAAGCAAGTAAAGTTGCACTAAAAGTATGTAGCAATTGTAAACATATATACTATTGAATTAGCATCAACCAAAACAGAAAATAAAAGGCCTACTTACGCTGTGGTTTCTTGGCCACCACCCTGAGTGCCAGTACTGATAAAAAACCCAGCAGGCACACCTGCTAGCTTCTGCTCCCTCCATAACTGTCCTGTTGAATCGAAAAAAGCCTTCATCTGCGCTGCCATGCTCCCATACCTTGTAGGAAACCCAAACAACAAACCATCAGCTTCAACCAACTTTTCTGCAGCAGATATCAATGGCACATGATCATCCTTCTGAGGTGCCTTCATGAGTTGCAAGACCTCCTCAGGAAGTGTCTCCGGTATCCGGTACAAGACCCCTTCAACTCCTTCAATGGAATCAACCCCTTTCTTCAAAGATTTTGCTAGTGCCTCCACATGGCCATACATTGAGTAGAACACAATGAAAACTCTTAGCTTCTTCTTCACTTCTTGGACTGGTTGTGGCCCCTCTTGGCTTGAAGTTGTTGCATTATTTTCTGGGATTAGGATCTCAATGCTAACAGGATCATCATCCTTTTCTTTGGCAGAAATTTGTGCCTTTTTCTTGCTTGGTATGCATCCTCCTCCTTTCCCCATTGAAATCCAATTGGGTATGAATGAAATTATGAAGGATTCTATTACTACTACCAAATGTGCTAGCTAAAGTAGTTTTCTAAACGATGTACACAATAAGGTGTTATTACAGGCTTACTTGCAAAACAAGACACAAACAGACAAATTGGAAGATAGAAACATAAAGATTAGTTTAATAAATCAAATATGATACAAGGTCTGCTATGGGCTATAGAACATGGCAACAGAAAAAATAACAAAGATGGATAAGAAAGTAACATGAACAAGGTTGTGTGTTTGACTTCACTTCTGAGCTGTCTTGAATTATTACGACAACTTCATAAATTTATTTAATGTTAAATAACGTGGCATGAGCAACCAAAGGATACAAGGGAAATTGAAAGAGAATCAAATCATATGGGATCTAGATTCTAGACCGAGAAGGCGTTACTTGATGCTTCTTGACCAAAAAAATAGAGTAAATGAAATTTTTTTTTTTTTTTTTTTTTTTTTTTTTTTTTTTTTTTGTAATATGAAATTTTCTTTTTCATTAAGGTGGTGTTTGGTTGGGAGCTTTTTAGAGGATATCTATCTTTCTCAAGTATGGCTTTTAGAAATACCATGTTTGTTTCAACGTTTTTCACCAAAAACTCATCTATCCAATTTGTCTGGATTTATAAGAAAGATAGATATCCACACTGTTTAGAAACCCAATTTGAAGGTGGGATTTTTCGGAAAACCGGTTATCTGACTTTTAATGCACTGTTGATTTCATAAAGTTATCTAATTTTCTCAGTAAAGTTTTTCCCCACCAAACAACTTTTTTTTTACATTTTTCTACCTATCTCACTTTATCTATCTTTCCAATCATTTCTCTATTTATCTCATTTTTCTACTATTCCAAAAAAATTTCCTGAACCAAACGCCCCCTAAGAGATTCCAATCTTTCAGCATGTTATAATTTTTTTTTTTTCTATGAAACTATTAATACTCTAAATTATTAGTGGTTAATATTTTTCTTTAGTACAATGGTAGACGTTTGAACTTATAACCTTAACCAAAGTATTAAGCTCTTCACTAGTCCTAGTGACTTATCAGCGATTAAGATTTAACCATGTGTCATGTTTAAAATATAAATTCTTTCTCTTTTATATTTTTTTGAAACACTTGAGCAACTATTAATCGTTAATTGTTAAGGAATAACATACGCTCAGAAAAAAAAATGATACCTAAGAAATGTGTTTGTATGTATATATATGAAAAGAATAATTTATAAATTTTGAAAGTTCCTATGCATTTTGGGTAAGCATCTACGGGAGTACCAAATTCGATACTCCCTTTTACTAAAAAAGGAAATTTTCTTTCCATTTTAATTCATATTTTTCTTTTTAATTCATTTTAAGCTTAAAAACTTTTTATGTACCTACAACAGGAGCATCCATGGTTCTCTCCTAATCCAAAGGAGTTATTCCCTGCTACACTGAATAATGCACGGCCATCTTACAAATTGTTCAATGAAGACTTCAACCCTAATATCACAGGTGACGTTTTGAAACTACCGCTTATATAAAAAATCATTCCCCATTAAACTCAACTTGTGAATGTGTGGTGAAGGTAATCCTTGTACCCAACTTGTTTTCTGAATTCGAACCCATAACTTTTCAGTCATAAAAGAACAATTTTACCACTGCTCCGGTTCGTCCCCTTAAACTACCGCTTATATAAATAGGATTAATGTTTCTGAGATAATTTTATCTTCTGTACATATAAAAAAGTGTGTGGGATCCATATGAGGCCATGCAAGGAGAAGAGAGAAAAAAAAAACTAACCTCACACACTTTTATATATATGTATAGGAAATAAAATTATTTCCAGCAATATGAAAAATATTAATCCCTATATTAACAGTGTCAAAAATGTATGGGCAATTATACAATTACCAATTAACAAATCAACGTTATTATTTCTTCACTCCATATCCTAACGCATATTCTCCTCTCATCACACTTGATTTATGTATGAACGGTGGAGATCATCTCTCATGACCTGATAATGTTAATTGACACATAAGAGTATTCATTCCCCAACTTACTAGATTAACATCAGCTGCACACACTGAGCTGACACAGCAATATACCTGACACAAATTCACAATCAGACAAAGATTACAAGCAAAAACTTGACAACAGAAAGAAAGGGGAGAAAAAAGAACAGGCAAAGCCCTGAGCTTGGATATTCAAAATGAATATGGACATAAAATTTTGCACTTTCTGAAGGAGCATAGATGATAGAAAGCAATAATTTCTTTTGCAGTGATTCACAATTGATACTCTACAGCAGAGAAGAGTTACTGAGAAGTAAAGTAGTCTTCTCATTTTTGCTTTAGTGAGCCCTTTTTAGATTTCTTTAACTCCCAAGGTGGTAGGCAACCTTTATAGTGAGAGTGCAGAAATAATGAAGACATTGATACTTCCCTCTGGGGCATTGAGATTGATGACAAGCAACTGAAGGCAGTTCTTAGTCTCTTTTTTTCACTATCACACTCTTGAAAGTTGGGATCATGCTGAACAGTGGAAGTTTTAAGGGCATCAGGGAGTATGCAGTTGCATAAGGAACCTACAAGGAAGAGAAGAAATGATAAGTCAGTGCAGCATGACTAAGAATTTTGAGAGTTCATTTGTATAAGTATTTGAAAAGCTCAGAAAAGCTCTTCCCTCCAAAAGTGAAATTTGCTTACTCTCAAAAAGTATTTACTATGAAATGGTAATAATGTAGTTTATGCAGAATTATTCTAAGTCAACCACATTAAGGCTATGGTTGTATAAGTAGCTTGGGGATAGGGAGGGGAGTGAAAGTAAAATGGGATGGAAAGTTTTTGAATTTCACTCATAGTTGCTTGGTGGGGAGGGTGGAAAATCACTGTCAACTCACTTTCATGGCAAAATTTTGTGGGGTGGAGTGCAAATGAGTTGCACTTCACATTCAATCATCCCACATTTTTGTTGAACCAAGCAAATGGAAAGTAAATCTCACTCCAAATTTTCCACCTACTCAAACAAGCATAGCCTTAAAAGTGAGACTGCAAGTGATGTCAGATTTTGCAGTGCTGGCAGATGTTCCATGTCAGCCAAAAAGGAGGAGAAAAAGTGTCATCTGTTTTGGTTAAAGCTGGGCAGTTTGAAATCTAGGCGCAGTGTAGTAATCTTTCTACCACGATGTTCATACAGAAATGGTTTCAAAAAAAAATTTGGAATTTTTTCGATATAGAACACTCATGTCGATAAAATGGCTTGAATTCCCCTTACGGTGGAAAAATGGGTATTTGACCCCCTTTTTATATTTATACAATGCAGAATCGATGACCTATGCCATGAAAGACTATCTATGCAAGACATGAAATAATTGAAACAAAGCTTCCACCAAGCTGCGGAACCATTAAAACCAATTTTAGGTTTCAATTGTTCATTATTTGCTACATATTCAGGAAAAATTGAGTTATGATGCATCTGCAATGTTTAATGACTCAAGATGATAATAATGTAAACATGAAAGAATGGACCTGGTGTTTGAAAACATGTCATATACCTATTCTTGCAAGACGATTGACCCATTTTGGTATAGAATTCCCTGTCAGCTTATAACAAATATCCTCGCAGAAATGATTGCAATTCTTCACAATCAAGTGATAAGCATCACCATTGTAATTTGCAGACTGGCTCTCCATGAACTCTCTAATCTGGAAAGGATCTAAGCTAGTAGTTCCCATGAATATTGACTTCCTAAACTTAAAGCCAGGACACTGCCGAGGTTCAACCTCAAAGACACCACTTGTTGGATAGTCATGGGCTCCAAACGCATATTCTACTCCATAAACTGTCAGTATAATAACTCCATCTTAGAAAATATTCATGGAATCCAGAATTGTAACTTTTTCTCCATATAAAGCAAAGGGGAAGGATATTGTAACAACCAACTAGTGTTACTACCAATGTTACTACCAATCAATTTCACCGTTAGATTGATTATTTTAGTCCAACGGTTATATTTAATTCCATCTTTGTATGGTTATGATTCCTCATATTTAATACTTTATATTTATTTTCACCTTTGTATGGTTATGATTTCTCATATTTAATGCTTTCACATTAAATATGGGGAATCATAACCATACAAAGATGGAATTAAATATAACCGTTGGATCAACATAATCGATCTAACGGAGAAATTGATTGGTAGTAACATGGGTAGTAACACTAGTTGGTTGTTACAATATCTTACCCCTAAAGCAAAAGAGAAAGTCATACTCACAGAAATTAGTGATATACATGCATAAATGCATAATCCCTTTCTCTAAAATATGAAGGTATATCAGTTTACACCTTTTCCTATGCATGATATCAAACATTCACCTAATCTAATTATTGAAAGTGAGGGTCCATCATATGACCTTTCAGAAGTATGTAGCACTCAAGGGTATTTATGTCTCCATGATAGTCAAAGGTATAAATTTGAAGTACTAGAGCATACAACAACATCAACAACAATCAAGCCTTATCCCACAGGTGGAGTTGACTACTTTGATCAAATGACACTACTAAATGATAAAATGATAAAGCACTATCAAAAACCAAATTTTGTGAAATATAGGATGTCAGTTCCATGGAAATAATACTTTAGGCACATATTTCTTTCTGTATAATATGTATATGTATGTACAGTTTTAGATACAGTTGAAAAGGTTTTAACCGTCAACTGACCTTCAACCCCAGAGTGGAAAATACCAAGCCCTGCCCAAAACATATAGCCATTTACTGTTGTCAAATCATACACATTGAGATAAACAGGTACATCCCCAGGTTTGTTGCCAGCTGATTTCACTTTAGAGAATATGCAAAAGGGGGTGGCTGATTTGTCTTTGAGACGAAGACGCACAACAGAGGGCCAACCACTTTTAAATCCTGATTTCATTTTATTAGTGAACCTGGGAAGCATTCAATAACTATTTCCTACCTGCATATACATTAAGACAAACAAAACAAAAAAAGAAGAAGAAAGAAATCATTTGCACAGAATACCATGTAACTGACAAAACATCAAAATTGAAAGCAAATGAGTTTTACTTTAATCAGCATTGTTTTACAATTGACCTAGGCATTCAACTATTAATTATGAATTACAATAAAAAACAAATTAGCAATGGCCAACACTTGTCTTTCTTGATCACATTAACAGTGAAAGAAAAGGAATCTCTTCAGCCACATAGTTTTCACAAAATAACATCATTGCCAATTTTATGTATCTAGATATGAAACCATATGACATGCATAGAACCCATGTATTTATTGCAATAGTACTTCCATAACTGGACACTACATGCCTCTCAACACTTCATATGCAATATAGGGGAAACATGTAATGTTTATGAATGGCTATTACATTTTCATATATAGCCTGTTTCAATTTTGGAAGGCAAGAAATGCAGTAGTCTCTTCAATCAATTGACAACAGGCCAGACTCATTTTTCTTCCAGAACCAGAAAAGGCTTTATAGAAAATGCAGCAGTAGCCTCAGCCTTTTTACCATGTTTATCACCATTCAATCAAACACCAGGAAAGATCAGAGTAAGTTCCCTTCTATATTTTCCTTAAAGGAGCAAAGGGAAAAACCCCAGTGCACAAGGCTCCCCAACATTCGAGGGTAAGGGTGAGGATCGATTGTACGCAACTTTACCCTTGTATTTTTGCAAAAAAGTTGTTTCCCAGACTCGAAGAAGTGACCTTTCAGTCACTAGGAGCAACCTTAAAAGAAAAAAAGTATTTTTCTTTATTTTGATTCATTGATGATGTCTATATTAGACATTAAAAAGCCACTAAAAAAAACACTCCCAGTTAAACCTGACTAGCGAATGTGGGGTGGTGGCAATACTTGTATGCAGCCTTATCCTTGCATAATTGCAAAGAGGTTGTTGTTTCCTAGATTCGAACCCATGACCTTTCAGTCATGAAGGAACAGTTTTATCACTCCACCGGTTCGCCCCCTTGTATTAGACATTAATGAAGAAAATATTTATTTTTGCTAGATTTTCTAGTTCAAGGTTTGTTCTGCTGTTCTGCATATATCACTTTTAAGCTATGTTGTAAGGTGGAAATTGCAGTGCATGAGACCCAATATGGCTTTCAAACATTGATACATGCATTACAATGGACACAAATCATTTGTATGACGAATTTGTTGTATATTCTAGGATCAAGTAACCATGAAATTCATATCTGCTTCTGATTACAGATAATATAGCGATATCAGGCTACAAGTAACATAATTTAAAGGAAAATGTAAAGGAGCATATTATTATCAGGGAAGCCATAAAGGATTAAAGGGGGTAGCCAAATGGGGGTAAATCATCTTCCTAATTAATTTCAGCCTTTTCCTTGTATACATGGTGGTGAATCATCTTCCTAGTTTCATTTAGGAAGCGGTCCTTCTATGCATACTTCTAAAAGATGGTATTATTGAGACTATTATTCACCACCCCAAAAGTTAGCTCAAAGGGTGGGAGTGCCCAAGACCTTATAAACTCCACAATAGTTGCACATACAACCAATGTGAGACTATATATCTCAACACGCTCCCTCACACAAGAGCCCATTGGGCTTGAAGAGTGGACAATGCAACAGGCCCAACCTACTTGTGCTAAGAAATGCCACACGAGAAAGTGTATTATTGAGACTATTATTCACCACCCCAAAAGTTAGCTCAAAGGGTGGGAGTGCCCAAGACCTTATAAACTCCACAATAGTTGCACATACAACCAATGTGGGACTATATATCTCAACACGCTCCCTCACACAAGAGCCCATTGGGCTTGAAGAGTGGACAATGCAACAGGCTCAACCTACTTGTGCTAAGAAATGCCACACGAGAAAGTGGGGGGCGGCGAGACTCTGATACCATGTTAAGAACCTTGAGGTCACCACCCCAAAAGCTAGCTCAAAGGGTGAGAGTGCCCAAGACCTTATAAACTCCACAATAGTTGCACATACAACCAATGTGGGACTATATATCTCAACAATACCAAAAAGAAAGTTTATTTTAAGCTGAGTTGAATGGGAACAAAAGAGGATCTATGAAGTATAGATCAAAGTACGAGAACAAGTATAAGTCAGGTCAATATTGATGGGCAAGATACCCAAAGTGAGAACAATTTCACTATCTTGGTCAATAAATTAAAACTAAGTTGAAGGGATATATAAAACAGGATCCATTCTAGCCAATTTGAAATAGAGTACACGAGATTTTAAAGGTTAACATATGCCCCTGAATCTACAAGGTCTATTTTATAGATCTTCCATATCTTGTCATGCTTTATGAATTTTATAAAGACATATAATGTACTTCTGTTATGAACAGCAGAAAACTATCTAATAGAACTAACACAGTCAATATTAATTCAGAAGAGTTATCAACTTTCGAGATCCTGTAATGTCTTGCTTCATTACACAGAAACACCATTGCAGCTCTCACTCTCACTCATCTTTGAAAACCTCCACAAGAACTTATTTTGCTTTTTGGGCACTATTTAGATATTAGAATATAGGCATAGCTTTCCTATGAAAAATTAATGGTATATTCAGCTATAATATTTGGACTTACATACCTTTTTCAATACCAATAACAAAAAACAAATTATGAATGTATTATGAGCATGGATGTCACATCTAGAATCTTGACAGTATAGAATACAAACAAGAAGCAAAAAGCTAACTTTTTTTTTTAGCGGTTTCATAGGGAATAAAATGAATTAGGAACAATAGCATCGAGTTGTTGCCAAATGACAATGATTGATTTCCATGTTATATATTATTTGAAAATAAAAATAACAAGTAATTTTAAAATCCACTCTAATCTGACAACTCATGTAACAAGTACTGATAATTAATTTCATTCAACCACCCAGATTCCACAATAAAATGCTCATAACCATTTTTTTTTCCTTTTAAAGGAAGTCAAAATCCAATTAGTAAAAAAAAAAAAAAAAGGAGCAAAAATGAGTAAAATTTACAGCTTGGAATGTTATATGAGATTTAGAAACATAAATGAAGATCTAACTGATATCTGAGCTCAACTTCTATAATTTGAAAGTGGTGGCAGAAAAACATTACAAGCCATAGATCAGATTGGAAAACAAAAGGGTAAAAAATTACACAAGGATAACAAGCAATGGAGTAGCTAATCTTCCACAAGCAAAGCAACAATGAGAAAATTAAAAAAGAAAATACAAAAATACAAAAAAGTAAACAACTAATGGAAGATACAAGAAAATAAGAAAGAGCCCCAAACCTTAAGTTGCAAAGGGCAGGAAGAAGAGAGAGTGAAGTGAAAAACTGGTTGAAAATGTGAAAGAGCCATTGTTTGTGTGTTAAGACACAGAAAGAAGAGAATGGAACAATGTGTGTGACTGAAACTCACACATTGTCTTAGCTTCTCTGACAGAAGTGAAGGGTGTGTTGTATAGTAAGTGGGACAGACAGAAACTGCTTTGTCTTTTTTTGGTGCCTAATGAGGAAAGATATTCATAAATAAGCCATTTCTTGTGGAAATTCAGAAAATTCAAAAAAAAATTAAAAAAAAAAAACCAACCCCAAAATCTTGCAACTAAAAAGTGAAAAATGTGAAATAAATTCTGTCCGGATTTGACACTTTGACATTGACTGACATCATGGCATTGCGTTGAATGATGGCTTACTCTCTCTCTCTCTTTCTTTATTGAATTTTTATTTTATTTTATTTATTTATTTATTTTTCGAAAATATGGTGTGTGATTCCTTAAACATTATTCTATGGTCATTAATAGTAGCAGGGTTACGCAGCTTTTGCCATTAACATCATAAATCATTACATGTTTATAAAATGTACCGGGATATTTTAACTATAAAAAAAATTCACTATTAATTTATTACTCATCACATCACCATTTGATCAAAGAGAGAATGTTAAAAAAAATTTGAAGAGAGGAAAAATATAAATCTAATGGTGATTAGATAAGTAATAAGTTGATACTGAAAAATTTTGATAGTGAGAATATCCCTCCTCTTTTATTTATATGTGGGTTTGATTTTTATCATGAGATAATTTATGTGATTCAACACATAAAAAATAGAGATGACTCACTTTAAAGAAAAAAGATAAAGGACAAAGGTGGATCTCATCTGCTTTTTTGTATGTTGTATGAAACAAATTGTCTCATGTAACATAAGAAACATATTTCCTTTCATATTTTAATATTGTAGTTTTAATTAATGATTAAATTTATTAATTATTTATCTTTTTTATTATAAAAAAATAATTTTAAAATAATATAAACTCATTATTAATTAAAATTAATAAAGATTTTTCTTCATTTTGTATAATGACATGCTCTTTTTTGAGTCTCATATTTTTAATTTGTCTATAAAAATTTGAGATTATTTTACACTTAATTGTGTTAAACTAGACTTGAAGGGATCTGTTCTCTTGAAATTAAAATATTAGAATACGAATGAAATAAATATAATTTCAAATAATATTGTAATCATATATAATAATTTATTTATTTTTCCTTTTATATTGACATGTTTCACTTAAATTATAATCTGAGTTAGTTGGAAAATTTATTGCTTTTTGCAACAACAAAAAAATTATTTGTAAATAAGTTTTCAAATATAATATAGTTAAAATTTAATTTTCTGTGAACCAAAGTTTGTAATGTGTAAATTATAATAATTTAATCATACCAAGACATAATTTTATAGAAGAAAAAAAAGGAAGATAATTCAAGCGCGAGATAATTCATATCATTAAAAAACTTGTTGCTACTTCAACTACAATACAAATATTAAACCAATGCAAATTAATTTGTATTAGATCAATAAAGAATTAGGATTAGTACATACAATAATTTGATTCTTTTGCCTCCAAATATCTCGTATTAT